TCCTCTCTCTCTCTCTCTCTCTCTCTCTCTCTCTCTCTCTCTCTCTCTCTCTCTCTCTCTCTCTCTCTCTCTCATTCTCACTCAGTTTAATATTCGATGAGCAACAAAAATAAAATGATACACTGGGGCGTTCGGATGACGTTTTCGAACGGAGCCCAGGGAGGTGTTTCCGAGGGAAATTTTCATGGCGCGAGCGAGTCGCCTGCCGGGAGAAAAACACGACGCGAGGGAGACAGAGCCGGACGTAATTCGCGGCACATGCGGCGCGGCGCGGCGCGACGGCGAGAAGAGCGCGCCGTGGAATGTTCAGAATCTTAAACGTTTAATGGGACATAATCGGTTAATGGGTCTCGCGCATTCAGCCAAAGCCGGTCCACCGCCGCCTCGCGCGACGCGAACGGCTCGCGCGCGCTCCGGATATTTTTATCGTCCCTATAAAATTCTATTTTCCTTCGGACCCTCTGTCCCTTCCTCTCCTCTGGCCGCAGCAGCTCGGCCCGTCGCATCGATAGAATATCCTAATTGTAATTCCGCGCACACGCTTGCGTTTACGCGATATGCACGGAGACAATTTTTTTTCTTAACGTTTACCTGATAATTATGCAATTGCGGGACAACACGGCATTTCGAAGAGCTTTACGAGTTTTGTGACATTTTACTACATATTTTACTATTTCTTCGAAATGCCACGTTGTCCCGCGATTACACGATTTTCAGGTAAATTTTAAGAGAAAGTTCCGTGTGTTTGTGCGTTCTTTTCATAAAATTGAAAAATCTCCTCCAAACTTCCACACAGTTGGAAAATTTGTGTTTTCTTGTTAAAGAAAATGCCGGTTAAAATTTTTGTGTTAAATGCTTAACACATTCATGTGTTAATTTAACATATTGCTCTTGTGTTGATTGACCTCAGATGTAAAATTATTAAAATACTTGAAAAGAAATGTTAAAACAACACAATGTCTACTTATGTTTTAATCTTACACAATACATATGTTCTATATTATTAGTAACAAGATTTATCTGTTAAAATTTACAGAATAAAATCTTGATTTTATTCTATATTACATAAGCGAGAGTGATTTCGAACCGTCATTTCACTTATTACATCTGTAAAGTGTAAAACTTACATTTTTTAAATTCATTTTGTCATTAAAAATATGTCAGTTTTACCCAAAATTTATTTCAAATAATTTTGAGATTTGCATTTATTTTCTGATAAAATATTAACAGAGTATTAGTGTGATTATTTAACATATCCATATTATGTTAACACAAAAATTTGTGTGGACCGTTTGGGACATGCGGTATCTGTGAAATTTAACACAGACTTTTCAACTGTGCACCTCAGTTGACGTCTCGGCGTATAATTGTCCCGCGTATATCGCTGTCCAAGATAATAGGAAAGATCTGTGCTCGATCGATCCCTCGTGTTTGATTTGCAGCCTGGAATGATAAATGGTGGCCACCAGCAGCATGGTATATGAGGAGATAGTCGGTATACGGGGCAGCTGACCCCAGCCACCGCGCACGCTTTTCACGCGCGAGATGCCCCACAATCTAAACCCAGCCTCCACCAACTCCGCCAACACGGGACCGAATCATCAAGCCTATCCCCAGCAGCCGTACCATCGGGAGAATGCAGATGGTCTTCAGCCGGAGGTAACGCGAAATCGATCGGTCGTACCGATAGGTCCGGTCTGGGTCGAACGTCTGATATATGCGGCGAGCGTAGCTCCCGATGCGTTTTATGAGTCTGCTTTGTCGACCTCTTTTATCGCTCGCTTTGGAGAAATATATCACACGTTGACAACTCGTCCCGGACCGAGGAAAAGTATCTATTCCTAATTTCAATCTTGGGTACGTTCGCGGAGCCGCATCTGTTCTTGTTGCTCGTCGTGTGTCAAAGAAAGCTAGAAGACGCTCTTAGCGCGAGCGCACCCTTCGTCTCGTAAAAACATGGAAATACGAATAAAATTTGAGGAATTTAAGATACAAAGATCTAAAGCGAAAGTCAATATCGGCGCGTCGTTTCTTCAGAAAGAACCGGTGAAATTCGACACGTCGCATCTGCGAGGTGCTCCAGCGGAGGTCGAGGCGTTGGTGCACAACATCAAGGAGGTCGCCCATCAGTTCCTCTATCACTGGCGAACGTTCCCCATCGTCCTGCCGCCGCCGTTGTCCTCGTGCACGGAGGGCGAGGACACGTTGGCGCGGAAGAAGTACCACCTGAAAGACCTCTTCGTGGCGCCCAGCTTCGACGAGCTGGACGCCGTCGCCGTGGACAGCAAGGGCGAGCCCAGGAGACTGACCAACAAGCAGCTGGAGAGTATCAGGGAGCGGGGGTAGGTGTTCTCCACACGAAGCGTAGCGGATATCACATTTTTCCACCTTACTCGTTTGACGATCGTGACTAGCTAGTCGTTTTGTGTAATTATTACGTAGCGGCAGTAGTTAGGCAGTAGAGAGAATTAAAGAAAAAAAAAGAAATAGCGAGAAAGCGAGTAATGCAAAACGTAGCCGTAATGAACGAATATGCTTGTGTACCGCGTCGGGTCAAAATCCGGAGAGCGACGATAGCGCGATCGGACCGCGAGCCTGGGAATCGATGCCCATGCTCGCGTTCTCGATGCGTTTAGACGCGGAGTAGATGAGGCGATCCCTTGCTTCAAGATTGCGTGTGTGTCTGATATGCTCTAACGATTTCTGTAAAGCTTACACAAGGATAAATATGGAAAGCCGAAGAAGCTGAATGCCACTCAGTTGGAGAGCATTCGAAGATGCGGGTACGTGTGACACACTTAAGCGACAGCGCTTAAAGGAGCGCAGACAATGTGTTAAACGTTGATGCAAATAGGTCGATAGGTAAACTTTGCACAGCGTCCTCGGGATTGACTAACCGGGCTAGCTTCCCCCGCGCGAGAACGGTGTCGCGTTCACAGCATGATCCTTCATTCGCACCGCCATTAACTTATCTCGAACGCCCGGTGAATCATACGCGAAGCGTTGATGAGATAAACGCATATTACCGTGTAACTCTTTTGCGCCACTGGAATTGGAGATTGGTGTAACATCTTTCGTAACGTGTGTATTCACTATCGCATGCCACTCGATCTGTACAGACCGCATATTCCCAGCTGTTATTGTTTGGTTTTTAGTTTTTAAGTTTGGCTTGTACATAATCGCAGCAAGGAGACAATCCTACGGGCTTTAGCGAGTCACTATAGGACTAGTCGGTTAAATGTAATTCAGCACGGATTAGCAGCGCTATCGAGATGCAAAGTATCCCTGGTGAAACTAGAATACGAGTAGATACACCTTCCACGTCGCTGTGTAAATCGTTTCGTAATGGAGGGGAAGGCACCACCACCTTTGTTTGTTACGTTCTTACTGTCCCAACACTGTTTTTCTATAGGACGTGGCGCTTTGTATGATTTCGGCCGTCGCAAAATCGCCCGGGAGATTTTACCGCGCGCGCGGCTGATCGGCGATTCTTCTTGCAGGGAGTTCGAGGTGGACTCGATCAACTTTGCCGGGCAGACCCACCGATGGCGATTGAGCGGACTCCTGCAGCGCGGCCGGGACAGACGGCGAGACGCGCTGCTCACAGATCTCGCCCTGGCGACTAGGTTTCTCGTTGTAACGGCAAAGGCTAGATTAGTTTCCCATTGCTTCAGTGTCTCGCAATCCCTTAAAGCATTGTTAACGGGGCTGTTGCGACTTCTCGGTGAGCAGTTTGCGTCCTCCGTTCGCGCGCTTATATGTGACGTCTGAAACCGCACGTCCGCATTACCGACACCGCATTATACATATCTATACGTGCTCTAAGATATATACGTTGCATATTACATTTGTATGCATCTTGCAGACATCATAATCGGCGTACCGTCGCTCCAGGCACACAATCTAGATGCTAAAATTAGGGAGGAGCGCTGCCGGTACCTGGTGGCGGAGTTGGTCTGCAGGGTAAGACATTATTCTCATTTCCTGTGAGATACGATATCTCCGTTGCATAAATCTAAGTCGTCGTCTTTGCCCCGATGCGTCGCCGCAGTCGGAATATGAGGATTCTCTGGAGCTACTATGTGGATTTATACGGAAGCAGCTTCGCCGGGCGACCACGGAGAAGTTCGAGGTCGAGAGAGAATCGTCCCAGCTGTTGCCCGTTTCAGTTCCTTTCGTATTTGGGACACCTGGTGGGGCCGCGGTCGATCTCAGACTGTTCAGCAGGGACATAATCAGGAAAGCTCTGCCGACGCTCGTTGCAATTCTGGAGAGAGAGACAAGAGGCTGGTTCCTTCACTTTAGAGAAAGACTGATATCTGAATTGAGAGCACAAAAGAAACCGGACGAGGAAATAGAACGAGTAAGGGAGACTTTTTAATTTAAAAAATTAACAATCGCAAACACCTGAAATAGGTTCATTTAATATTTAGAAAATAATATTCACAAAAGAGACGAATTAATATGTGTAGAATAAATTAAAATGTATTTGAAGGCATAAAGGACTAAGAGCCATGTTCAAACCCTGGTTGAGGTGATATTTTTTCGCAATAGATTTAGAGTAAAATATTTAGACACTAACACCCTGTCGCGGCTCTTAGTCCTTTATTCCTTCAAATTTGTGTTTATCACATTTGAGCCATAGGAATTTTATTAATTTGTAAAATGTATTTATTGTCAACCGGACCTTTTAGGAAGTCAACGAAGCGGTGATGCGTGAATATTTGCAAAGAGTATACTCGAATATCCTGTCGCATCCCGACATACTTGCGCTGGGTGAGGGTATCCCTCAGCTGCTGGTTCAACAGGCGCAGTCGGTCGTGCTGATGCACCGAGCGGTGGAGAATGTGCAACGGAAGCTATCGCAAACCAAAGAATCTCTGCGGCACCGCATCGAGAGCGAGCATCCGATCCTGTCGCGGATACAGCCGTGGATGCGCGACCGCATGCGCGAGGCCGAGGAGAATTTCATCGAGGAGTGCGAGTGGAGCGCGCATGAGGAAGCTCTCGCGCTCTGCAGCCATCAGAATCTCACCCAGACCGTCTACTTCCTCAATCGTGATTTAACTTTCATGAAAGAGGTATCTGTCTCGATCTTCAAGATCTGTCATCTAGGAACTTGTTGGCAACTTGGATTTGTCTGTTTCAGAGAGAGCCAGTTCTCCTGAAAGAACTGCGGAAGGTGAAAACCCCGACGAGGACTTTCCAGTGGCCGACGCAAATCTGGCTACCGAAGAACTGGATAATAAGACGCAATTTCCAAGGCCAGTCCGAAATAATTCCAACCGTACTGAGCAACACTCCAACTTCTATCACGACGCCTCGCGCGGATCCCAGCCAGCCCGTCTTTTTGGTTGAACGAGAGATTGTGCACACAACCACGACAAGGTATCTCAATCGATCAAACTATTATTTGCACTGTTACGTTCGGTACTTGAATAAATTTCGTCGTGTCGAAGGTGGCCGATGTGGCGTTGGATAAATTACATCGCCAGGACATGGTGTTGGACTTGGAATGCGATGTTCCTCTTGGGTGTAGCCGTACCGTGGTGTAGCCCGGTGTCTTTCCGCGCTTTACTGCTGGTGCAACCGTTTACTCCCGACCTGGAATTGAGTCAACTCAACGGGACGTTGTTCCCGAGAAAGTCGTCGCAAATGCCTACTCTTTGTTCCCGACTAATAGCACTCTGGAGGCACATCAGTAAAAGTCGAACGCACTTTGAAACTGAGCCAGACACAGGTAAGATCTCTTTTTATCACGCTTCATAACGTAACGGCAGTATAGTTACGAGAGTATCGGACTCTGAATGTTAGTAATGCAATACCAACGTCTTTTTAGGATTCATCGGCAAAGGCATGACCAGGCATTTAAATAGACTATGGAACTACGGTGCCAAGGGTTTGCTAGGCACACTCATCATCCTGTTCGTGTTTCCCGTAGTGTGCATTCTCGCGAGCGTCAGTTCACTGATTGTCGCTCTCACTGCGGTCTTGTGGTTAGTTTATCGTGCGACGGATCCCTCGTTTGTTTGTCTTTTCTTTAGTAGAACGTAGTTGAACTTAACTCATCGGCCATTTCAGGATGCCTCTGGTCACGTTGACGCTGCATGCGTTCATGGCGCTCATAATGGATCTAGACAGTCCTGAGTCGAGCCGCAATCGATACTTTGTGGTGATGGAAGCGTTAGCTTGGAACATCGGTATTCAGGGCTGCATGCAACCGATAGCAGCGTTATTCGTGGCCCTTGTCCTGTGCCCGGTCATCTCATTCGTGATACTTACAAGTAAATAACGTGTGTTTTAACGAGGGAAGTGGCACTCGCAAAATATTATATACAAAATAATTCGATGCTGCAGTTGCTGTGATACGTTACTGGGTCAGAGTATTCTGGGATACGGCTATGTTCCATCTAGTGATCAAAAATAGAGGTCGGATACCAGCGAGTGACAGCTTCGTCGTAAAGAGAATAGCTGGGCCGGGATTAGCTTCGGATTATTATTATCAAGTGAGTACTTGCACTTTTTCACTGGACAACTGTAATATCTGAGGAATAAAATGTAAGAAGCTCAAATTACCTTCGCCAGATCAGAGCGGAACAGGCGTTGGCCGCGTTTGAGGCGAAACTAGAGCTGGACGAATTGCTGGCTTTCCAGCAGGAGACCGAGAGACTCGTCACTCAACCGCAGAGAGATTTTACGCAGTTCGTCGAGGCCTGTTTCGGCCCGTTCGCCGCTAGTCTCGCCAAGACAAAGGATCCGTACAAATCGCTCGAGAAAGAAGCCAAAGATCTAATCGCCGTACTGTACGAGAAGCTGGACCGGCGAAGAAAAAATTTGCAGACTGGTCTCGGCGTCGCGGTGAGGAGTAAGATCAAATTAACCACTTTCGACCTGAAGGTAATTGTTTTCCGTAAGATCCCGTTCCGCGTGGGTTCGCGTTTCTATTAATGCCATACGAATTCGTATACGCGCGTGCAATTCGGTTACGATAGAGTCGAAATAACATTGCAGGTGGTCATACAGCAAGGCGCGCTGATGCTGGAACGTCTCTATCCCACTCACGTTTTCGCGAGATTGCCTGGAAACGAGGAGGACTTCTGGGAGAACAAAGGTTTAGGGGTGTGCGACTGGGCGGGCCTGGCGGGGCTCATGTACGCCGACATCTTCAGTCTGGATTTCCTGCAGCCGCTCGACGACTCCGATACGAAATTCAGATTGGAGCCGCATCCGGGAGTCGATCTGTCGCGGTACACGGACATGGTGCACAGCACCGAGCTCGGCGGCATCAACGGGCCCGATTTACTCGGCGCTGTTTACGCGCCGCGCGGGAATATCCAGGTGCACAGCCCGTATCTCGAGGTGTCCGCCTTTAATCCGAGGGCCAAGCAAACCAGCAACAGCAGAAAGTCCGACAAGCGATGGTAATTGTCCCCCTCTGATTGTGCCGTAATCTTTTGCAGGAGAAAGAAAATATGTAAAACGGCTCTTTGCAGCGATACCAGCGGCTTGTTGACGTCGACGAAGATTCGGAGGCGCACGATGACGAGCGAGAACAACTCGGAGGGACGGTGGCAGCCGTGGAAACGCCAGATTCAAACGTACAGCGCGGAGAAGCTGGTGATCCCGCTGCCGATTCCGCATCCGGCTCACATAGCGGTGACCATTCACAACCGCGACTCGGAGGATCCGATACCGCTCGACTCGGAACTGTGTCAGAACATCCTGCGAGCCATCGAGGAGTCGCCCGGCGAGATGGCGACGGAATACGTGAGTCGGTACAGAGGCGGCGGCGGCGGCGACTCCAGCTTCGACTCGGTCGCGTCGCAGTCGTCGGTCTCGATCGACACCGGCCTGGACAAGGAGAACGAGACGACGCAGGAGACCGCCGCGGCGAACGCCGAGAGAGAGGGCGAGACCTACCACTGGACCCTGTCGAATTGGGGCGGTGGCATGACGCGCAGGCGGAACAATTCCGGATCCATAAAGGTCGACCTAGCGTCACCGGAGGACGTCACCCTCGACACAGATACCACCAGAGTGATGTTCAGCACTTACGGAACAACCGTCTAATAGCGTTTTCGACTGGACCAGGATTAATCGCTCCGGGAGCGATTAATGACGTCACGAGTTTTGTTTTAGTTTACTAGACAAATAACCCAAATGCAACCCATGTTCGACCCATACCATTGCGAATTGATCCATCAGTGCTAAGAAGCTACGTTAGGTTACAATCAGGTTATACGTGCGTGTTTATTGTGGAACAAAGTATTCTTTGACGATAATAACGCGTAAGTGTACCAATAAACTTTTCGATTTTATCATAAAATTGACAAGAATATTGTAACTAGAACCTAACCCAGGTTCTTAACCCATTTTCGGTCGAACATATGTTCCTAGTATCTTCGGGTTAATCGCTCCGGGAGCGCTAAGGCCCGGTCTACAATGAGTTGTTAGTCGTTAGTCAGAAGTCGGAACTATATGTCGGTCCTTTTTCTTCCACCCAGAAAGGAAAAGGATCAACATATAGTTGCGACTTCTGACTAACGACTCATTGTAGACCGGGCCTTAAACCCATGTCAGTTCCAGTCAGTCGAAAACGCTATAAGATAAGCCTGCCGTTACACGCGTCCAGCGAAACTCGTCTTCGCGTTTGTAGGTTTGACGTTAAAAAAAAGAAACGGGAGAAAAGAAAAGAAACGGCGCAGAAAAGGGAGGAGCTCCGCGACTTTAGCGAAACCCGATCTTAGAGAACAGCCTTTGCCATCCAAGATGACGCGATGCAATTAGACACTCGCTCTCGGCCGCGAGTTAACGCGGATCAAAATCGGCACGCAGATCACGCCAGATTGCCGACGAATTATTCACGATCCGAATCAAAAGTGTAAATTCGTTAGGGTCCGTGGATAGGGGAGCGCGTTTACCGGACTCAATTGCCGTATAAATACGTACGTGTGATCGAATAGTTCCCAGTGAATTGCAATTATTTATATCGCCACGGAAATTTAATCTCGCGCGAATCTCTATTATAATATATTGAAAAGTTTTATCTGGGAAGAGGTCCGTTAATAGACAAGATATTTACTCGCCGAAGTTATACCTTCGATACTCGACAAGCTCGTACGCGGGGCTTTGATTATCGGACGAATGCCGGTTTAACGAGGAATGTTGCGCGATCTCTCGGTGCGAGATTCCGAAATTTCATTACTACGAGGTTGCGATTTTTAAGAGTATTATAAGAAAGGATAATATATATATTATATATAGAAAGAGAGGAAACAGAGGATATTCCAGATCTTACAATTAGTGCGGCAGTTAGACGACGTTTCTCTCTTTAATATTACGTTAATTAAACAAATGCGACATTCATATTGATATACTGTATATAGATAGCTAATTGTATAAAAATAAACTTGTTAATGTAATATTACTCCGGATCACACAAACACACACACACACACACACTTTCCGTTATTCGCGACAAAGGCTAGGCGGCGACAGGCCGCGACAAAGAGGATATATGCTTGCGATTGTTTAATCGTTTAACATTTAACGCAACGTATACAGCTATTACAAATAAGCGTGCGCCCGCCGATCATGTTATCCGCGAGTCGACCGCGGGGTAAAAAGACTACCGTCGCGGAGCGTTAATCGAGATTAGGTTTCGGCCCCGATGTACAGCGCCGGGTCGACAGATGTGACCCGTTTGGCGAATGCGAATTTGACACCAACAACACCTTTACGTCCTTCCAGCGTCTCGCTATCTGTGTACATTTTATTTTAATAATAAAACCGCAATAGATGTTAGTCCGGAATATCGGAGGTCGAGACTCCGAGGCGGCGGCGCGCCGTGTGCGCGATTATCGTGACATTTCTGTGTGGATACGGTAGGCGGGATTTAGCGAGGATACGGCGACGCGACGCTAATCAACACCAACGCTATTCAGACTCAATAAAAGTTTACTGTAATACAAAGTGCGTTTCCGCAGCCCTCTCTCGACTTTTCGAATCCCCCGCCGTCGCCGTGAAGCGAGCCGCGGGTCGCGCGTCGACGAGTTCGCGGGCGCGCGGAATCGACCGATCGATCCGCTCGATACCCGAAACGATACTGCGACTCTCCGGTCCATTCTCATATCGCGACTCGGCACTTCGACGCGCGCGCGCGACGGGTCGTCGTCCGCGCGCGACTCGACTTCGACTTCGGGACTTTCTCTCCTGGCGAAGCGAAGGCGATCGCGTTTCGACCGTTACTTCGCGAAGGTTCGACGCGCTCTCGAGCGGAAAGACGTAAATCTTTCGCGATAATGCGTTCACCTCGACCGGCGCGGACCAACCTCGATCCCGTCCCAACGTACTTTTTCGCCCCCTTTTCGATTCTCGGAGCTAGGAAAACAAAGATAGAGCCGAGTCGAACCGAAGTTAATCCGCGCCGAGGCGAACGGACACGAGCGGGACTGCCGGGGATTCCTGCGCGTTCGGCGCGCGAGAAATTCGGACGTTAACGAGATCGAAAGTTGTCCAGGGAGAGGAGGAGGAGGGACAATCGATTCTCGTCGAGAGCGTCTACGGGAACAGCCGGGCGACGAGGAAGCGGAAGCGAGGCCTCGGTTTCCCGTCGACACGTCGGCAAGCGACTCGAAAGGAGTGAACTAGGCGCGCGAGGAAGACCGTCGTCTCCGTCGAAACGTGGCCTCTTCCGGTACGTCGCGACCTCGGGCTCCCCCTCGCCCTCTCGGCGAGAACGGGCTGCATCCGGACGGAGGAGGCGGATTTTTCTCAGGAGCGACGGGTTGCTCGGAGTCTCGCGTCGCCGATGGATCGGATCGGTCGGACGCCTGTTTATGCCTGTTTACTCGCGACGAACCAAAACATCAATGACCTTGAAAGCCGCTCGTCACGTGACCGGGGCGCGGGGTGGGGAGGGGCGCGGCGATTGGCCCGCGGAGGCGCGTATAAGCGCGTATTGCGCGTCGCGCGCTGCGCGGTCCGTGCGGCTCCTCGCCCAATGGGATTGGCGCTTGTCGGGGCGGGCGGGCGGCCGCGGGGAAGGGGGGGGGGCCAGGGCGGGCGAGGTGGACGGGAGCCGAGGGGGCCGAGCGAGGCACGAACGCGAACGCGAGCGGCGAGGACGACGACGGCGGCGACGAGGACGACGACGGTGGCGACGGTGAACGGTGAACGGTGGTGACGGTGGCGGCGATAGATAGCGGCGGTCGTGGCGGTGACGACGACGACGGTGGCGGCGGCGGCGGTGGCGGTAGCGGTAGCGGTAGCGGCGACTACGACTGCGATCGGGACGGTGCGCCGTGTTGCTCGGTGGCGTACGCCGTACGTGTTAGTGCGTGTGTCCGTGCGCGAGCGCGGTTGGTCGGTGGCCCGCGTTGTTGTATCCAAGATGAAGTCCGACTCGAAACCTTTGTTGACAGCTCAGGCGGAGAAGGCGAACCATTACACGTAAGTAGCGGGCCGGCCGGGCCGGGCCGCGCCGCGGCCCGCGCGCCCCGAGCCGTGGGATCGCCGCGCGATAAGGCGCCCGCGGCGCGCGTTGCCGCGCACGGGTATATCTGGTCCGCCGCCGATAGCCCGCGAGAAAAAGTATCGCGAGCGCGCGCGGGGGGAGTGAGAGAAGGGCGGCCGAGCGAGGGACGGAGACGTGTGGCGAGTTGGCCGTTTGTGCGCCGGAGAGTGCGCGGGCCAGAGCCACACGTCCCGAAAGTGCAGTGCGAGCGAAATTAATACAACATATTGTCAGAAAGAGAGGGCGCGGGTGGGAGGGAGATAGCGGGCGAGAAAGAGTGAGAGGGAATAAAAGTAGAAGGTAACGGTGCGGCTAGAGAGGGAGCGAGAGTGGGACGGAGAGCGAGATAGGGACGTGCGAACGTGAGAGCGAGAGGGAGAGTGAGCGAGCGAGCGAGCGGCCGACCGACGAACGACGGAGAGGGAAGAACGGGAGAGCCGCGAGCAACGAACGCGGCCTATACGCGACGCGCGCGTCCTACGATCCGCAAAAATACACGTATGGGCGCGAGAGAGAGAGATATAGAGACGCGGCGTGGAGACTCGGCGCGCGCGGACGGCCCACGGGCGATAAGTAATGTCTAGCACGGTGGATTCGCATTCCAGATACTTGAAGGAGTTCCGCGTAGACCAGTGTCCCCTCTTCATACAGCGCAAATGCACGCAGCACAGGCCGTTCACGTGCTTCAACTGGCACTTCATGAACCAGCGGAGGCGCAGGCCGGTGAGGAAGAGGGACCGCACCTTCAACTACAGCGCCGACAATTATTGCACCAAGTACGACGAGACCTCTGGCATTTGCCCGGACGGGGACGAGTAAGTTTTCTTCTCTCCTTTCTGCCCTTCTGCTATTGCGCGCCGCGAACGCAGTTACGTGATACGCGGCCTGCGCTCCTCTTCCTTTTCGGCTTCTTCCTCTTCGTTGGTGCGCGCGTACGTGAGAAAACTGATGTGTGCGCTCGCGCGCGCGCGCGCGTGTGTGTGCGTGCGCGCGGGTATCATGGCAGAGCGGTTACGGCATTCGCGACGACGTTTCGCCCTTGTGCTCGGCGAGGACGACGAGACCGCTTCTCTCGTATCGCGCTATCGCCGCGCAGCAGGCTCGTATCGATAAGGATGCTCGCGGTACATACGCGTGTATATATACGTGTACATACGCATATATATATAACGCAACGCGACGTATATGTACACGTAGCGTTGCCATCGTGCCGCGTACGTGTCCCTCGCGCGCGCACGTACGTGTTTACGTTCCGTCGTCGCGTTCGGACGCGCGGTTCCCGCGGCGAGAGAGAGAGAGAGAGGTAGACAATTGTTGCTCTCGGGATCCAGGAAAGGAGAGCGAGGGAAGGAAGAGAAAGATACGCCGCGCGCGCGTCGTCGTCGTCGCCGTCGCCGTGGAATTGCGTATCGCGTTTTTCTTCTCTTGGGCGTCCGCGTGCCCGCCTCCTCCCCATCGACCAGTGGCCGCGTGCTACGTCGTATACACGAATTGAGGTGTATTCTGTAGCGCGCGCGCGGGAACCCCTCGGCCTAAAGGCCCGGTTTCGCCGAACGTCCCTTAACGTTGGTCTTGATTCAATTCATCCTCGTCTCTTTCCAACCGAATCAAAATTAACGCTGATCTTAGTCCAACTCGTCTTTGTCTCTTTCTGAAGTAAACGGTTGGAAGGAGACAAAGAACGAAACAAACGAAGCCTGGTTTATTTCGTCCTCTGCCTGTTTCCAACCGTCCAACTTTCCAACCAATTAAAAATTAACGTTGATATTAATCTAATTCATCTTTGTCTCGTTCCGAGGTAACCGTTGGAAAGAAACAAAGGAAGGAAAGAAACTAAGCCCAGTTTGTTTCGTCCTTTGTCTCTTTCCAACCGTCCGACTTTCCAACCAATTAAAAATTAACGTTGATCTCAATTTTACTCATCTTTGTCTCGTTCTAAGGTAACGGTTGGAAAGAGACAAAGTGCGAGAGGAACTAAGCTTAGTTACTTTGGAAAGAGTCAGAGATGAATTAAATTAAGATCGACGTTGAGCGACGTTTGGTGAAACCGGGCCTCAGGTGTTGCAGACGCGGTCGCGCCTTTCTCTCGCCGCAGGACCTCGCGGGGAGGATCCTCACCGCGGGATTGTACGCGAGACTTCCGGTTCTCTCGGAGGGACGTTCCTCCTCCTCGTGGAAGCGGCTCGTGCCCGTTTCTACCGATGCAGACCGTAACCTTGATCTCGGCACAACTTCTCCAGTTTCAGGAATTGGAAACAGATAGTGACTTAGTTAAACCGGGTTTAAGTTAATCTGCATCGGTGGAAATGGGCATTCGCGAGAGATCGGCAGTCGGAAGCTGGATGCGAGAGAGAGAGAGAGGGAAACAGACCGGAGAGAAGAAACGCAGACGCGTGCTCCTCGCTTTGTTGGTCGTTGACTCGTAACGCGCACGTAACATGTGGCATCTGCTCCGGCGAGAGACACGCGGCGTGACACAGAGATGTTTTTAGCTTAACGATACCACGCTTCCGATTGCGATTCCCGCCCGATGATCCCCCGCGACGACGATTCTTGGGAGGAGGCGCGATTCGGCGCTCTCGGTTGATCCAGGACCTGGGTTGTTTTCACGAGTTGACTTTTGTGTTTCCTTGAAACGTTCTATTTTATACTATGAAACCCGAGAGGGACCGAGGGCATTGCTACACAGTTGAAAAGTGTGTTAAATTCAACAGATATCACATGTCTCGAACGGTTCGCGCAAATTTTTGTGTTAACATAATATGGATATGTTAAATAATCACACTGATACTCTGTTAATATTTTAACACAAAATAAATGCAAATCTCGAAGTAATTTGAAATAAATTTTATGCAAAATTGACATACTTTTAATGACAAAATGAATTTTTAAAAATGTAATTTTTACATTTTACAGATGCAACAAGTCCAAATGACGGTTCGAAATCACTCACTTATGTCATGTAGAATAAAATCAACATTTTACTCCGTAAATTTTAACAGATAAATCTTGTTGCTAATAATATAGAACATATGTATTGTGTAAGATTAAAACATAAGTATACATTGTGTTGTTTTAATTTCTTTTCAAGTATTTTAATAATTTTACATCTGAGGTCAATCAACACAAGAGCAATATGTTAAATTAACACATGAATGTGTTAAGTATTTAACACAAAATTTTAACTGCCTATTTTTTAACAAGGAAACACAAATTTTTTAACTGTGTAGGCATCACTAGGCATTTTTTGGGGCATTGTAAAGATAAAATAAGATAAAACGAGATAAATGAGATAAAATAAGACAACAAGATAAAGCAATGCCCACTGGGCATTAGTGGGCATTGGTGTACATACAAGATTTTGGCCAGCGGTTTTCCCCTCGATGAAATCAATACGCTTAAAAAATGTATAGACAGTGCACGATTGTACAGTGTACAATGTGCAATTTGTCAACTTGCGCCAACTTTTTAAATTTACTTGCCGGCTGTAAAATAGAACGTTCCTAGACGCAGACGGCGCATTGCGGACCAGGCTTCTCGGTTTGCAAACGGTAGAAGTAACGACGTTGGAAAAAACCGGGCTGTATTGTTTTTATTTTGTTAAACCAGGCTTTGTTGTTTTTATTGTTTATATTGCAACTAGTATTACCACATGCCTCAGTGGCCGAATTGGTGAGGCGCCCGCCTGGAGTGTAAAGAAGGTCCAGGTTCAAACCCTGGCTGAGGTAATATTTTTCGCAATGAATTGCTTCAATTAGAATTCGCCAGCCGCTGGTCGTCATGCGATTTTCTGCATTGCTTAATCAATTACTGGCGTTAAATAATTCTTTACGTTATTCGTCTTTGCTTTTCCATAAATTGGAAATTCATTGCGACAAATTAGAAAATTGCCGCTTTCTTTCGGCATATAATCTAAATATATCGTGGGATATAATTTAAAAGAAGAACTGCAGATAGCGTCCCGCACCACTCCAGATAGAAATTCTCGTTTTTAGAACATCGCGCGGCGTTTAATTATTCATAGTTGCCGGAAGCAATGACATTGTAATATCACATAGTTAACTCCGCACTTTCCGCATGAATTAACATACCGCGTTTAACGGCGCCTCCCTCTAACGTTTTGCAACTTCGTTTCCATGACGGTAACATAAATACGCATGCACGCACGTACGCGTTCGCCGAAATGCGCATTCGATTTGCATAAACAGGTGGGTTTTTCGTAATCGCGGCATTCGATAAGTTACAAATCACTTTTTAAATTGGAAGAAACCGAATGGCTCCATTCTCGTTTACTGAAATCGAACGAACTTGCAACGTTATTTTTACAATTGATTTCTTCGGACATTTTTCGTTTTTCTTTCTTCTCCTTTTTGGCAGATCGCAGTAACAATTTTGCAAGAATACCGCGGAAAAATTGCGTCTAATTCGTGCCGCCCTTTTTTCCGTAAAAAGACAGTTCAATTTTACGCAGGAAATAGCATCGCGCCGGGTTTAAACGATAGCTTTTACCGTCACCCTTTAAATTTATTTTTGCGGCCATAAATTTTTATTACGCTCGGCGCAAAGTGATTTTCATCGTGCGATCGCCCGGCACGTCGTGAATTTCTTCCCCGAAATTCGCAGTGTTATGAGTTGCCGAACAAAGGAAGCCCACTCTTATCGATCTTCCCTCGCGTACTTGGCACGATGGCACAACAAAGAATCACTATGTATCCAAACCTTATTCGCGCGTTAGGTGCGTCGTAATCGAGTCACCAAAGTTTTGCCCGCCACTCAACTAAACGTATCTCGATTTAACCGTGAAATACTACTATGCGACATCGTGGAAACTAGTGCGTCACTCGTTTGTTTGGAACGTGAAATTATGTAACAGCAAATAACACATCTCTGAATGTCGGCGCAATCGTTAATATATTTTTAAATTATTTTTAGCCGTACTGTTTCCGTCTTTCAATTCAGAAATTAAAGGGAATCCTAAGGTCATCTGTTTTACCAACACACTCGAATATAGTTTTCGCGCCGGTAAATCTTTTTATTAGCTTTTATGCACAAAACAATGCCAGGACAAGTTGCGGACCGCGTAGTAGAACATTTTCATATTTAAAACTCTCAGGCCAGAAGTCTAATGAAAAAGACATTGGTATTTGAAATTCAAAATTTTTGAATTGTGAGCAATTTGAAGTTGGCTTTATAAAATTACAAGATTCTTCCACGCGATTATAGTACGCATAAAAACAAAGTGGGGGTTTCTATGACTTTACATAAAGAATGAAGAGCAATTAAAAATATCAGCATGTGAAGCTGTCACCTAACCACAATTACTTATAAAGCGATATTTTTCATTTCTCTTTGTCCTTTATACATATAAAGTCGTGAACCCCCCGCTTTGTTTTCATGCGTACTATAATCGCGTGGAAGAATCTTGTAATTTTATAAAGCCAACTTCAAATTGCTCACGATTGAAAAATTTTGAATTTCAAATACCAATGTCTTTTTCATTAGACTTCTGACCTGAGAGTTTTAAATATGAAAATGTTCTACTACACGGTCCGCAACTTGTCCCGGCATTGTTTTGTGCATAAAAGCTAATAAAAAGATTTACCTGCGCAAAAACTATATTCGAATGTGTCGGTAAAACAGATGACTTTAGGATCCCTATTTATTGCATTTATTAATAAAAACAATTCTTGTGTAAAAAAAAACCCGCAAGTAGATAATACAAATCGAGTGCGATGAAAAGTATGAAAGCAATGGTATTTGTTTATCGCTGAAGCGATAAGGAACGGGAGAAAACGGAATGCGTAATGGAAGTCTGGGGCGCGCGTTTCAAAGTCGGTATCGCCTGAGGAATGCACAAGGGTTGTTGACGATGGGGAGACAAAAAAAAAGAGGAGGAAGAACGCAACGGGAAGCGTCGTGCGTTTTGCCAGCTCGATCGAGGCCGTGAAACGTTATCTTGTCGAACAGGTGTCCGTTCCTGCATCGTACCGCGGGCGACACGGAGAGGCGCTATCACCTGCGCTATTACAAGACGTGCATGTGCGTGCACGACACCGACACCCGTGGCTTTTGCGTGAAGAATGGCCCGCATTGCGCCTTCGCGCACGGCAATCACGACCTGCGCCCGCCCGTGTACGACATCAAGGAGATCCAGGCGCTGGAGAACCCGGACTCGGACCCAAACTCCTCGTCGAACGGGCCTAACATACTCGACAAGGAGCGCAACCTGATGAATGAGGACCCGAAGTGGCAGGACACTAACTACGTGCTGAGCAACTACAAGACCGAACCATGCAAGAGACCGCCGCGACTCTGCCGACAGGGCTACGCCTGTCCGCAGTATCACAACAGCAAGGACAAGCGGCGCAGCCCGCGCAAGTACAAGTATCGGTAAGCATCGCCTCGGAGCAGCCCACTATGCTACACCGGGAGACCCTGCTGCTCTCTTGAAGATGGATGGAGTGAGATATACAAATGGTTCCCGTTCCGTCTCTAGCATTACCTTCTCCCCAAAGGTTTCTGGAGTGAATGTTTCACTCTACGGTAGTATTTTTACTTGAAGCGTTTTCGAGAGTTGGATACCGCGAGATAGAAACATCGTTGACCAATCGGAATTGCTGGAACAAGATAGAATGGAAACCATTTGTTTCACCCTGTCCAGCTTCTTCGAGAGGACGGGGCGGGTCTTCCAGTGTAACTAGAGTTCACTGCTACCAAGTGCGGCCGGTTTGCGCTGGCAGGAGTAATTTTCGAACGTTTAACGTCCATTGCAGTTCGACGCCGTGTCCGAACGTGAAGCACGGTGAGGAATGGGGCGAGCCGGGCAACTGCGAGCAGGGGGACGCGTGCACGTATTGTCATACTCGTACGGAACAGCAGTTCCATCCGGAGATCTACAAGTCCACCAAGTGCAACGACGTGCAGCAGGCTGGCTACTGCCCGCGCGGCGTCTTCTGCGCCTTCGCGCATGTTGACCGTGAGTGTACACTCATCAATCGTACGTAAAACAGTCTTATTATATACTTTGTGGGTTTAGTTGACACGTTGTGCATGTAACGGCGAGAGATACGTAGAGTTTCACACCCGGTTGCCTTTCGAACGCTCGCGTTCGTCCGCGACGTAGGTCGAGTCTCTTTCGCGAAATTTGGGATACACGTAGAGAGCCCGGCTTGATAAATGCTAAATCCTAGCCGTCAAAATTGTTTCTCAAAATTGATATATTGGGACGTTGGTATGGTGTGTTGATGGAAGCAGTGTTGCCAACAGAAGAAATGAGCCTGGCGAGGGATATGGCGGTACCTATAGATTGCGGAGCGAATCTGGCGGACATACTCAGCAACGCACTTCCACCCGACAAGCGCTCGCACGACAAGGACAAGCCACTCAGTGACAGCAGTGTGAGTCTCGATCTATACATATAACGCGGTCAGCTTCCAGAGGGGGGGGGGGGAAGATACAAGTTGGAATAAAATAGCGTTAAATCGATAGAATTTACGTTGCTCATCAGAGATTTGAAGACGGAATGTTTTTCTTCCATGTTGAAAATCTAGCGCTTGATCGACTTGCAGAATGGAAGCGGCGAGGTCTCGGAATCCGCCAGCACGAGCAGTTTGGGTAGCAACAGCTCGCACAGCAAGGCGCCAGGCGCTCAACTGCACAATTCCAATAATACCAATTCCGGCATAAATGCGGCCGCACAGCAGAAACTTACGAACATGCTTTACCCCAATTCCCTCATACAAGTTGTAAGTTCTCTCGATGTAAACACGCTGTAGTATTCCAGCCTTATGATATGGCGCGTACCTTCGGGGAATGAATTTAGAGTCCGAGAGAAAAGGGACGTTTTGGAATGAGCGTAGATCCAATTCAATTACCACAAAGTATAATGTATAGATATAAAATAATCGTTTACATTGTACTTTGCTCTTGTTCTGGATTCTAGATTCACTCCACGGAGTATCGATATATAATTTAGAATCGTATAATTTAGGCTCACTCTTATATATTGATGTTGATTTCGACAGAATGAAATTCGGAAGCAAATGATCGCCATCGACAGCGATCCGTTGTTGACTAAAGCTGAAAAGGCCCAGCAGAAACAGAGCCTCTACATTGCGTACAATTTGAACGGGACATTAGGCAGTCACTCGTTAGCAACTGTTTCACCACTTTCAAATTCGTTCTACTCAAACGACACTGTGGAATCTGTAGTAGGTAAGTGCAGGCAGTAATGTCATATGCCATATTTGTTTACGTTTACGCAATTTGTGCAGTGTCTTGACGCGGACGTTCCATCTCTTTCAGGGAATGCATTAGACGAGCTCCATTTAGACGACCCGTTAAATTTAGTCGACTCAATTCATAGGGATACAAATTCACCAATTGGCAATTCGATATCGGCAGGCCTAGCTAGCTCCGGTCTACTCGGTAGCTCGGCCCCGGTCAATATACCGGGCATGGCTGAACGTTCAGTTCTTACCAATTTCTCGCCATCAACGTCGAGCCCACTTCAGCAATTACAGACTGGTTTTCTCACCGGGTCGAGATTCTCCCATCAAGACTCCATGGAATCCGTAAGTTGGACTCTCTCTCTTTCCAACCGGCAGTATCGTCAGAAATGGATTGTTTTACTAATTTGATTCTTCGGATTACTTTCAGACATTGCCATTTATGAATCAGATATCGGATCCATTTAGCAATCACATTTCGCAACTTAGCAGCTCGGCTTCTAAGCTTAGTGGATTCAATAGTAGTTTATTCGATTTCGCGAGCCAAGGAATGTCACCGTCGCGTACGCAACCCACTCTACCGGCATCTCCATTGGTCAATGCATTTTCCATTAGTCCAAATAACACAGGATCGTTGTCCGAGGTTAGAATTGCACGGTTTTTAAGAGTTTCTCTCGGATATATTTTCGATAGACTAGTCTCGCAATAGTAACGGTCGCATATATGTAACACGCGTTGCAGGTACAAAGGCTCAGAGACGAATTGTCCTCGAGCCGTGCTCAATTGGCGACATGGGACGAGCGTATTAATCAAGCGCGCGCGGCTTGCGCGGCGTGGCAATTGGAAAGCGAGGAGGCGAAGAGGAAAGCGACCATCGCCGAACAGCAAAGGGACGAGGTGAATATCTCGCCTAACTTAGCGCGCGCTTATCTCTCGATATCGAAATCCCAATTTGCCGTGCTCCAGAGAATGAATTTTTTGCAGGCTCTGAAAGCGCTCAGGGTTGAGAACAAGGCGTCCAATGGCGGTCCGTATCTTCATACATTGAGGAAAATAAGCGAGCTCAGAACACTCTCGATAGCCACCTTGAAATCAATTCAATCGCAATTGCGCTCGGATCTCGAGGAGGTGGAGAAGGTAAAGGCTTTTATCATAAATAATCGGTGGCTCCCAAACGAGTCCATATGGCTAGAAAAGAAATAATACAATACGTCCCTATTGCCGTGTTGTTTATTGACATTGCTGTATTACCAGGTGCTGTACAGAGAAACAGCAACAAAGTGCATGGTTTGTGAAGAGCAGAATCGTACGGTTACTCTATCCTGCAATCATTACGTGGTCTGTTCGACGTGCGCTCCGAATCAGCGCGAGTGCCCGTACTGTCAGACGCCAGTTGTCTCAACAAGTTAGACCTGAACCTTTCCTTAAAATCTTGTTGTTATTGCAATTTTCGCTTCTCTGTTTAAAAAAAAAAACACAGAACGAAGAGGCGATGGCAGCCGCAGACTCTGAAAGAATATCATGTGAGTAGTATCACAATTTTGCAAGGACTCGTATTTTTACTCTGGTACAGTGAAAACTGAAAACACGTTTCTTATCGCGGCAAGCATGTACCCGCAAGAATCTAATTGACTTTAAGAGTACGATTGATTTATCGCCAAAGTGAGTACGCGAATATGATAGAATCTTTATTGGTGTAATCTTAAATTATATTGACATTTCTCTCGATATGTATAAATACATATATATACATATTCATGTATATATATTCAGTAAATATCACATTTTTTAAATGTAACGCTCAAACATAAGCGTTATCGATCCTAAAGAAGAAACAAAGATGTTTTATTTTATACATAATTCAAAATAAATATCTAGCAGGGTGTTAACTATACACATTCAGCGTTTACAACGCAAATATATGCGGGTTACAGAACATTTAGCGCGAGAACAATATAATCGCAGTTGTGGACAAAGTTTCGGGACCTCGAAAACTATATAATTGTTTAAAGAAAAAAATTAATAATATTAATAAACGCAACAAAAGTCTCCTCCCACTTGCATTAAAAAAAATGGGAGGATTTTTTCTCGATGGTTGAGCTGTGAAACGTATGTCACAGAAAAAATGATATTTCTATTATATTTAAATCTATATATTTAATAGGATTTTCCAATTGATTCGTACTGAATGTAATAATATAAGTATTAACAAATTTTATATTTTTCGTTGAAAACCTAATATTGAAGATATAAATATTATATAAGAGGTATATAAATATATATTATATAATTTCTAGGTTTTTATATATCTAATAACAAAGATTTCTCATATAGTTATAAAGAGTATAGGAGTTTACAAAACAACCGAAATAGATAGCGCTAAAACAATTTTATTATATAAAAGGTATTACATACATATACGAGTATATCATTTGTTTCTCGATTCTTTTCTATTTGTCGGTGTTGCTGCCGCTTATTTCTTTTTTTTCTTTTTCAATTTGTTCTGTCTTTTGTTACATTCATTAGGTACATTCACGAGGACAGTTTGTTGAAAAACTTTAACACTTCGGGCACATCGAAGTTTACAATGATTAATATTTTTAACAGTCTTACATAAAATACGCCTGCTTTCTTTCGGTCCGTAACGTGGCTTTTGCATGTTTCGTACTTTCTGTAACACAATCCACTTTTAGGTCTTACATATGCTTAATTGTGTACTAGTATTTGCGATGGAGTTATTAGAGAACATTTAAATTAAATAGCGTGTGATAGTAACGAAGAAGTTAATCTTCAATCAATTATTCAATTAGATTACTGAACCAATTACCCTCATTTCGTGTTGTAGGCTTTTACAATTGTAGATGTAAGGATGTTAGAGATACTTAGGATTTTTCAATTTAATCAAAAAAAAATAACTCATGAATATATATATTATATATAAAAATATAATGCATACACAAGTCAAACGTGACATACGTGTTACAGTTCAGTGGCATGCTAGAAGTATGCGAATTAGGACGTGTGAAGTACGTCTATGTACCCGGCTCTATGCGTATATTCATTTTGAAGATGTAGTTGTTAAACTCTATGATAAAAAAAATGACTATACACTCATGATGAGAAATATATATATATTGCCTAAGATATAAACGATTATAGGATAGATAGGACAGCATTATCAAATTTTTTCCTCGTATAGACATGAAATGTTACAATAACCAATTTTAAAGACTTCTTTTATTTAATATACACACATATTATTACATTTCGAGAATTATGAAATTATTGAACTCAAGTTTAATACCCCGCACAAAACATCTAACGACACTTTTACACGACTTGTGAGACGTTTACTAGTTTACACAGGATTAATCTTCCGAGAGAGAGATATATAATTGACAACTTTTTTAATCATCTGTAACACAAAGGGGTATTGTAGCAGACATTTACTTAATTGTGAAATTCTCTAATAATCGCAACAGCGCTGTTACTGGTTTTTTCTCTTCTTTTTTTTGCTTTTTCATTAATTTTTCTCCCTCTTTTCAATTACCTTCATAGTTTAGTGTCAAAAAAAGTGAGGCCAAAAAATAAATGAATGTTTTTATTACGTCAGTTTTTTATTGCAGATTATTAATATTAAAATATAATAGATGTTATTTAAATTGAAAATTACAATTTTCTCTATTATGGTATATATGGTCTAAAGATTACTGTTTTTTAAAAATTATGCTACAATAGAGTATATAACGTAGGGATACATAAGAATTATTGAAATAAACTTTTCTTTGATGTGCTTTACATTCTTAACTAGATTGAGGATATAAGAAGCAATTTTAGGAAGATAGACGGTCCATTTCTCTTTTGATTAATGACATTTTTAACATCTAGGTAATATCCAAGTTTCCTCCTTTTTCATTTCTTCTTTCTGACTCTTCCGGTCGATATAACGTTACGTGGTCTCACGAGAGATCTCACCTGATAAGTAGACGGCATATTTTAATTTTCTTAGAGGCCGCATATACCATAACACCATTTTCAAAGAACTATTTAGGATTTAAGAGAGAAACATTATAATAATGCATTTTTTTTCTTGCGTTTATCCGAATGCATTCTTTATAAGTACGGGAATGTTACACTATCGAGATATTTGTTTCTTCGTATTTTTCACGTGTCCACTTGAAAAATATTTTGGCACTATTTTGCCACTATTACGCATGTGTATAAATGTAATATTTAGACCTATCTATTTAAAGTAATAGATAAAATGCCAAGCAATTAGTGCACTATTTTCGATGACTCAATTTTTATATGGCTAGTGCATTATTGTGATAGACAAGGTAAATTCCCAATCGATATTGAGCTCTACGAACTTTACAATAATTGACAAAACAAATGATCGCGTTTGTCAAATCGTTAGTTTTCCAAATTGTTGAAATGGTTAAAAGAAAAAGAGAAGGGTACTTATAAAGAATGCGATATTTTTGTTCAATAATATTCCGCGATCGAACTTCCTTCCACAGTATTTGTATCTAAGGCAACAATGTTACAAATAATGGGATCATATCCGAGTCAACAGTTCTTTGTATACGGAAAAATGCGAGAGAATCTTTTTCAGTTTTTGAATAATCGGAGGAAAGTTACGATCGCGTTACGTTTAACGGAACGTTTAGAAATGATATTCCTGAATAATAGGGTTATATGAATATTACAAACAATTACAATATATTATACTATTTTACTTCTATAACAATTAAATAACACAATTAAAAATATAAAATATATTAAGAATATAAATTATTGTGAAAGCAACAAATTTAGCTACAAAATAGAGTAATAGGAGAGTAACAAAGTGGATGATTAGCTAATATTATCGTGTAACAAAGAAAACATACAGTTGAATATTTATATACTACTTGTCCCCGTTGTTGGTTTCATCAATTATCTTGCGTATTTTGGAGCATTTTGATGACGTACCGTCGTTACATACGCTCGATCATTATCGTATTTACAAATGAAACGTTCGATTAGATCAGTTTAATAACAATTGAGTCGCACTATCGTGGAGATAAAGAAACGTTATATCGATAAACAAAATAGTATATATCAAGCAGCAAAATTTCAAGTTTGTGTCAAGTATCGCCAATACTTGAGGCAACGTGCCCGACATATATTTTCTTTTCTTAAATTAAATCTCAAAATTCTACTGAAATGCTTACAAACGTGGCATCTGAATTTGGGACGCATTCAACGCGTTTACTTCGATTGCACAAAGAAAACCAACAATAGGGCAAATTAAAATTGAACACTATATTTTTGACAAGTTATAATAATACCAATTACAAACGTTATACGCTCTGTCCTGTGCGAATGACTCTTCCTCTGCGTTGTAAACGGGGTCGGGCCACATTGTAATTGCGTTTTGTTTGTGCACTAGTTGAAAATATTACGAGACACGCCCGTCGCACTTTGCGTAATTCGCGCGAGACGGGCGGGCGGGGAATTTCGATAACATCGGGGAGGAATTATCAGCACGGTTCAGACGAGAAAAAAAGGCATACACATAATCACTAGAATATTGTATGATAATTGCGTATAAAAATTGTAATATCTATAAAGGAAAATTTGCTGAACATTTATATCACGATTTATAACTAAAGGTACTTGCTATAGACCTGTGTCGTCCTTAATCACTCGTAATTTTGATATAACTGCATTTGTTATTTTGATAGTGGCATGGCTGATTCTTGATCTTAGGTGTCGCGAAAATTATTTTCATTCACTCGTCTAGCGAGATGTGTGTTCTTGTTTGCAAAAAAGAAAAAAGACGTTTGCTCAATGTCCGCCAAGACTTTTTCGGACATTTCTTGTTGTTCCGCAAAAAAAAGAACCGACGTGTTATCAGTAAGAATGTGATCCACTGCGACTCGCATTATTATGGTCGTTGTATATGGTTTATAATCCTTGAAATATTTATGTTACAGAATCTGAGATATCTCAAAATTGCCTAGATTTACAAATCGATTCTCCGTCTATTTCAACAAAATGGTCGCTTAGTCTATTATGGAACATTGCAGCATCACGATATTAGAATATTACATTGTTCTTAATTATAATTGATTTAACGAAGTGCAGTGACAGTTGACGCAAAACTTAAGTGATCTGAATTCAGGCTTGTGTTTAGAAAAATGCGAGGTAACAAATGGCTGTACGACTATGATCACACTTACAGTTAGACCAAATCACTCGGTATGCCACTTATCAATGTTTCTCCCTTAGACTCATAACTTCTGCCACTAAATAATTATACAATGATGATGATGATGACAAATTCTCTATGATTATTTTTCAGTGAATTTTAATTTAGTGCATTTTTTGATTAATTAACAGTAGATTTTTTTTAGTTTAACTTAAAAACTATTTTTCGCCCTCTTTGTAATTCTGAATTGCATAAAGTAACGCTTACACTGGTGAATACTCGCGCTACATTTACTTGCTAGGGAAACAAAGTATGTATTTTAACAAATTATTACGTTGCAAAGTACGTGTCTTAGTAATTGTAAGGATAGAATGAACGAGAGAACCGCGCAACAGTCATTTGCATCCTCATATTTGATCGTCAATGTTTTCTAAAAAAGTTGAAAAGAAAAAAAGGGAAACGAGTCGCAAGTTCGCGGACGCTCGCCTCGAGAGGAAAGCGAACATAAATTGGCCACCTACATAGCCCGCAGTGGTCTCGCATATTCTTTGATTTGATAAGATTTTACGTTAAGCGAGGCAAAAACAATTTGCATTAAAAGAACAATGTGCAAGCAGTGCCATTTTCGACTTATGAAAGTAATAAAGTTGCGTTCTGCGAGAAGTGAATGTGATCTGTTAACGTTTCTAATTTCTATAGCATAATTCCGCATTCTCAGGCAGTCTATGAAGAAAATACCGCATTTCGCTGAAACTTTGCATCGTGGAAGCAAACGTGTGCAATTAGAAACAGCAAGGATGTAAATTATTTTCAACTTTTTTATTATCAACTTCGGGAACTTGAAATTGTTCGGATACTCGCGGGAGTCGACGCTCTCCGTAGTTCTCGATAGTGCGGAATTGCGTATAGAAATGTGTCCCCTTTTAAATTTTTTACTATTTTTGCAATATTACGGTAAACGCCGTCTTCCGATACAATGTATAATGTTTAGGCGTAGCGCTTTGAGGCCACTAAAAAGTGTCAGAGGCAGCGCAAACAAACCGCGTTTAAACAAATCTTATATTTGTAAGCTTGATATATGTATATGTATAAATGTATAAAAAAAAGAAACAATAGGCATTGCTCTCTCACACAGCTCGACTTCGGGTGCGCTCAGCGTAGAAAAGCAGAATCAATATATTCGTATATTGTGTAACTTCTGGTGTTTAAACAAAAAGCAATGTACTTATATGTTATAAGCGGTTAAGGTACTAAGTATGTATACTTTGCGGGCTATTGCGTGAACGAATCGTATCTATTTTACCCGTGCTCACACACGGAGTCTGTAACAATCGATGAGGAACGTCGGAATTATCCGAGTTGAGAAACGGGAATCGCGAAGAGAGAGAATCAGGAAGAGACCTTTCGTTCGTGCAGTCGCGTTCGTTGCTTTCACAGGATGAATCACTAATAATGTATTATAAATTTTGTTCTCTCCATTCGCACGCGTGCGCGTGCGAAGGGAGCACTCGCGCGAAGGAATAAAGGGAGAGATGAGAAATTGTGTGGATCCGAAACAAGAACCGCATTCTCGAAGAGATCGTACAAAGTGTTGACGATAAAACGATAATCAAGACTGCTGTAATTTATTGTTCATGTAAACTTAATTCCGTAAAGTCAGGTCGCAATGAAATTACGTTGGCGCAAAGGAAACAAGATTGTTCGCCGTTAATTCTTATTGCTGCTGTCTTCTTCTAGACGCGCGCAGGACAAAACCATTTTTCGTATCTGGCAACTCACAGGAGTCGAGAGAATTCTTTTTAGCGATTACTTTTACCTCCCGTAGTTTCTAAGGCGATTAGGTAGCGCTTATAAATTGAAAATTATGTGTACCATTTTCTTAATATATACATATATATAATTTAATATATCGAGATGTTCTTTGTTTTTCAAATCCGCGACGAGAGAGACGTTTCTGCTCGGCGCTATATTCTTTGTGAGTAACAGGGACCTTTACACGGTCAATAACACCGATCATTAATATTGAATCTCAGTAAAACTGACAGTACTGCGCGTCAGTCTATCCAGCTTCTTTTTTATCTCGGTTTATTTTGGGTGCAATTGAGAGCTATTAAAGGAAAACGATAGAGAGAGGTGAGGTGTTATCGTCACTGTCTCTACCAGAGCGATAACTGATGCTCGAAATTCAAGAAATCCGGATCACCGTCAACGTTAACCACACACGATCAATAACGTTGTCGGTATGCGTCAATATTGGCAGTATTATTGACCGCGTAAGGTCCCTATAAGAGATTTCGCGCGGCGAGACGATGAGACGAGGATGCAACAAGGCTCTCGCGCGGGGCTGTCGCGATCGTTCGTCCTGTGGAAGGAATCAATAGGTATATTTAGTCGCGCAATTAACAGAGGTACATAGGGATTACTGTTACAATAACGTAACGCGAAAAGGACAATTAAGGATCTCCACGATGGCTGTCGTACCGATCAGGCTGCTTCTCTACGTATGCGTGTAATTTATAATAATACGTCCCCCTCGTTCCCCGCCCCGAGACCATATCTCTTCCGCACGACTTTCTGCGCGATGCGGGTTTTTGTAATTTTGTAATTTCTAAAGTCCTCCCGCGAGCGCGCGTGTGCAGCCGACAGTCGGGGTGGAGGGGAGTGCGCCGCGCGCTTCTCCGTCGCCGCAGCGGGGACCGCGAGATTCCGCGCGGAGTTCCCTCGTGCGATCTCCGGAAGAGGTTGCCCGCCGGCGAACGGGCAACGCGAAGAGAGCAATTTCAACTCGACGAAACGACGGCACCATTTTTTTTAAATTTTATTTTGCGTCTCCGTCGTACGGAAAGTTTCGCTGCGCGTTGGGGTGACTTCGACCAGGGGCTCGATTCTTGAATTCTTACATTCGAGGGAGAAACGCGTGCGAAAAGTTGCAGGTTGATTCGCTATTCGTATGGTTTTTAGCCAGTCGACTCTTAACTTTTCTGCGGGAGCAGAATTTTCGCATACGTTTCTCCTTCGAACGAATTCAAGAATCGAGTCGCAGACTCCGATCAACTTGTCGAGCGACATCGGTACCACTTTGTTTACGCCTGTAAAATTAAGTGTTTGTCGTTTGACATACGGAGAAAAAAGATCGGAAATGAATTGTGCAGTTGAAAACGTTCCTTCGAGCGATCCTTTCGATTAATCGGTGATTAACTTACTAGGCAGCATCCATTATCATTTTGTTGATGTGGATTGTTAATTATTTCTTGTGTGATGCACGAAGGATAAGAGGCGATGAAATCGTGTAGCTGAGAATGAATCGATTTTGCTGGTTCGATCAGTCGCTGACTAATTTAATCGGAATTTAGTCGAGTTTGCCCACAATATTTCACGCTTGTCCTCCGTGGGAAACAGGCGGGTCGAGAGAACTCAATGAGGCACCTGCAAAATAAAATCCCTATAATGTCTCGTAAGAAGTGGCTTCTCTCGATTCATCCGCTTCCATTGAAGAACGTCTTCTTCCCGCACGTTGATCGAGAGCTTCGGAGTTTCGTGTCGTGTCCGGACGTTTAAAGAAATTGTCGGAAGAGAACCACGCACGACCCGTTTTGATCCCATTGAATGTTCGTCTCTCCTCTCTCTTTCTCTGTCTCTTCTTCGGTGTAGTATATTCTAACGGATATCAGTACAAATCTACAACCTGTGTAAGAAATAAAGGGATACACATCGCTCGGGTGGACAAAAAGAATGACGATATCGTCGAGACACGTATTTTTGGCAATACACAGATTTAAAAAGATTACCAAGTAGCGCGTAGTAAGTAGAGAGAACACAAGGAAGTGAATTTCGTTCGAATGCATTATTTTTGACGACTGAAAGTTTATACGCTAAAAAGGATTAATATTGATAATACGATAACGAGATAAGGATATAGTAACGATTGTGTACGTAACTCGTAGGACGGATCGTTCGTTATCGCTTCTCATGCTATTTTACCATAAGTTGTGTCTTATAAGAATAAACATTGTAAATCAATAAAAATTGAATCAATTTTATTTGGTGTCGTGCGGTTATTGCGCTCTGCTTATATGTTGGCTACCGATTTTAAAAAATACAATACCATCTCGAGTTGCGCACTATTTTTCTTACATCGCACGACCGACCGGCAAGGTATTGATCTTAAATATATCTTTTTAAATTAATAAGCTCAACTTTTTTATATTTAAATTTATAATGAAAATGAAATTAAGAAAATTGAAAATTTATTAAGGTTTAAATATCGTTTGTTTTGTGAGTTATTGGAATTTGAATTCACGTACGTCTTCAATGTCTCTCAAGAGATTGAGATTTGAAATTTGCCGCATTCGAACGCTTACAATATTAATTTTACTTATTGTTATTGAATATTGTTACATGTATATGTATGAAAAAATGTTCTCGACATACTTTACACACTAACTGTCGAGATATTTTAAGAGGAATTGAATGTCTTCTAAATCAATTTATAATTCAGCAAAATCTGGCTATTAAAAATTCAAAGAGTATAAATTTGCAAGATGTTTTTAATATCAAGACTAGTCATTCAAGATATTCATAAATTTTTCAAAAATTCCGAGAATTTCAAACTTGAAGTTGCAAAAATCGAGAATCTTGAAAACTGACAAAGTATCAGGAGAACATGATCGGCAAAGAGGTGGCACTATCTAAATTCCAAGAATTTTCCAGCATTTCCAAGAATTGTAATTCCGAGAATTTCAAACTTCATATCGCGAAAATCGAAAATCCTGAAAACTAAGAAAGTATCAGGAGAACATGATCAACAAGGAGGTGGCACTATCTAAATTTCCAAGAATTTTTCGAGAATCCGGAAAAGTATTAGGAGAACAGGAGAACATGATCGGTAAAGAGGTGGCACTATCTAAATTTCCAAGAATTTTTCGAGAATCCGGAAAACGAAAAGTATTAGGAGAACAGGAGAACATGATCGGCAAAGAGGTGGCACTATCTAAAATTCCAATAATTTTTCAGCATTTCCAAGAATTGGACTTCCGAGAATTGCAAACTTCAAATCGCGAAAATCGAGAATCCCGAAAAACTGAGAAAGTATCAGGAGAACATGATCAACAAGGAGGTAGCACTATCTAAAATTCCAAGAATTTTTCAGCATTTCCAAGAATTGAAATTTCGAGAATTACAAACTTCAAATCGCGAAAATCGGAAATCCTGAAAACTAAGAAAGTATCAGGAGAACATGATCAGCAAGGAGATGGCACTATCTAAATTCCAAGAATTGGAGTTCCGATAATTTCAAACTTCCAATTGCAAAAATCAAACGCAGTTTTCCACCAATCCAATTAAATTTTGTATGTAATCACAATGGCCCTGCATTCATCCATCGGACACGAATATCTAGATACGACACTTCTGAATTATTATTATTATTATTCTGTTAATGGCTCCTGACTCCAGAGGGAGCCAACACGGCCACGACACTTCTGAAGGCCTGTGTCTATGATGGTTTGGTCCAAGTTTTACACAGAACCTTTAGTCCCAGTCTACAATAGAGATTTAAGCCCTAAGCCTTAAGAAATTGACTAATCACAGTCGCGCATTCTACTCATACTTGACCGTGATTGGCCAATTTCTTAAAGCTTAAGGCTTAAATCATCTATTGTAGACTGGGACTTAGACTCAGACCTTTAAAGCTGAGTTTTCATAGGCAGCAAGTAGCAGCAACATTCCGCCCACTAAGTACATAGCGTTATTCCTTATAAAAATCTGAGTCGAAAAGTCCTGAACCTTTTTTTTCTATCATGCTTAATAATTAATGAGTCAATCCACTGAGCACCGGTCTTTAGCCGGGCACACATCAGTGAGCCGGCGGCCGAGCCCTCAACGCACACCACCATGTGCTCACCGGCTCACTGACGTTAAAAAAGAGTACATTATTACTTGTGTCACGTTTAAAAAAAATTCAAGTTTATAAATTATGATTCATTTGTTTCAATGGAAAAGTTTAACATATTACAATTTTTTACAACTACGTACATTATAAGAAATAAAATTATCTAAAGAGTATATCATTTTTTCGACATTGTATTTATTACTATTTCAAATGTCGCGTTCCAGTAGACCACACCAATATGGCGCTTACTGTTCCCCCCTTGCGTCTGGTTAGACTGGCCGTGGGTAAATTGCTCCCTCCAGTTTCCTCTGTGCGGGAAAGCAATTACGGCGATACAGATTATAGGTGGTTCTGCCGGGTAACCGGACACGTGGAGGGGGAATAGGGTGGGGATAGCGCTCAACGCTCGGCCGGCGTCAGACAGTGGAAGTTAGAAGAAGATAGTGCCGAGCGCCACCCCCCACCCTATTCCCTCCACGCGCCCGGCTGACTAGCAGAGCTTCCAGGTTTACATCACTCGGCCAATCGCACAACGTCTCGCGGCTCGCCAGTCAATAGCGGTGCACCTCGTGGACCTGTCTCGGCCAATCGCGCCGCGCGGATTAACAGTTCCCCCGTTCCGCAACTTGTACGCGGCTCTCGATTGTTTCGTACAACCAGCTTAACGGTGCACGACGGTACTCTGTTGTCTTCGTACGTTTGCGTCAGTCGTGAGGTTCGTTCTCGATCGAAGTGACTCGTGAAAGGCGTCGTTGCGTTTAAAGCGGAACTAAGCCCAGGTGAGTTCTCGCGTGGATTATCGCGGCCGTCGTTCGGACGGCGCGGCGTGCGTCCCCGCGCGGTCCCCGTGGCCGTCGATCGTCGCGCGAGGAAGCGGCGACGGGACGCGTCCTCGTGGGGGAAACAGCCGCGGGGACGTTACCGCGACGCGCGTGACTCGGCCGCCTTCGCTCGCACGCTTCGAGAAAAGTGCACTCGGCCCTGCCGCCATCTTGTTTATTGTGTGTGCCTCACTTTTGGAGGGAAATCGCCGCCGCGGTACAGCCGCGTACGGGCGTCCTGCGCTCGTCGAATCCGCCCGGGACACGTTTGTGCGCGTCGCGATTTCGCCTCCCTCGATTTCCGGGAAAGAATCCGCGCGGCGGGATATCTTGTGATCGGTCCGGCTGTTTTTTTCTTCTTTCCTTTCGTTCCGCCCTTTCTCTTCCTCTATGCCCCCCACCCTGTACAGTGTATGTATTGGTACGCGTCGCGGCGGGGGATTAGATTATAGCCTGCTCCTCTCCCTTCTACCGAGCAAGCGTCTTAACGTATGTAACTTGGTGCTTTGTCCCCCTAGGGACGAAAGTTCGCGATAGACAGGAGATACAAGCTACGAAGGCCCGCTCGCAGTCATGGCACGTACCAAGCAGACAGCCCGTAAGTCGACTGGTGGAAAGGCGCCCAGGAAGCAGCTCGCCACCAAAGCGGCGCGCAAGAGCGCGCCGTCCACTGGAGGCGTCAAGAAACCGCATCGTTACAGGTACGTGTATATGTATACTAGGTGCGCGCTATAGACTAGTGTAAACTTGCGCCAGGTCAATTGTTTATTTAGAGAATGACGCGGATGTTCGTCGACTTGACGATTCTAAAAAGAGACAATCGGCACGAGGCACAATATAATTATAATACAATTTTAATATAATTATTAAAAATAATACAATTTTAATATGCATGCAAATTAAATGTAATTACCTTGACGAGATTTCGTATCATCTTCGCGAAAAATTAAGTGTGTGTATTTTTTTCCAAGCAATTTTCTTTTAGTCATATCCTAAATCCGTGTGGTTTTCTTTTCCAGGCCCGGTACTGTGGCCCTTCGAGAAATCCGAAGATACCAGAAGTCGACCGAGCTGCTGATCAGGAAATTGCCGTTCCAGCGTCTGGTTCGTGAGATCGCCCAGGATTTCAAGACCGATCTGCGCTTTCAGAGCGCCGCCATAGGCGCCCTCCAGGAGGCGTCGGAAGCTTACCTGGTCGGCCTGTTCGAAGACACGAATTTGTGCGCCATTCACGCCAAGCGTGTCACGATCATGCCAAAAGATATACAGCTGGCGCGGCGAATTCGCGGTGAACGCGCTTAAATCACACGCGTATACACAGAGCGTTCTCATTTTATTATTATTTGGACATTGTGTGTTTCTGAGCAGTTTAAAATTTTCTTGACTCTTCCGTCATTTATCATAGTTAACACACTGCCAGCCGCTGTAATAGAAAGAAGGGGGAAGAATAACGAGCAAGTCTTCATTGGACTTTCCAATTCGACGAGATGCGATGCATACAATGATAAAAAGATGGAAAATTATAAAAAAAAATTTAATTTATATGAAGATAAAATTTCAGAAACAGTTGTTAGGTTCATTTTTTTTTAAGTACTACGATGTGTAGCGAAAGTAAAACAGCAATATATTGCATGGATTTCGCGGGGTTTTTTTTTTGTTTCCATAGAACGCCGGGTATTAGCGCGCTTTATTTTAGGTTCTTAACCGCCGGTAGTCACCTAGCTTCACGGGGTCATTTTCTCCACACATTTCTGCGTACAAAACAAAATTTATTAATTGTACATCGGCGCCGCTATAAATATATATGCACTTTTCGTATAAACTGATATACCTACACGTGTATTGGAAAGTGGTGGAGCACGGAGCAGGTAGTTGATTAATTGTTTATCGGTAACAATATTATTACACGACGTTAGTTCGATTTGCATTTAGTCCTTGCACACTTTAGCCTCTTCAGCCTCTTGGTAAATTGCCCGTAGTGGATATCGCGCATATACGTATATATATATATAAAAAATGATGTAAGGAATGTAAGCAACGTAAGTAAGTGTTTTATGTAACCCTAAGGAAAACATTAATAAATACGTCATATATAATATACACATATTAAAGATTTGACAGGAGGGCTGCGATTGGTACCGTAATTCATTCGCTTCCCGATGAACACAGAGTATCAATTGCACGGCACTTGTGTTACAGTTTCTCGCCCAAGGGTGCGAATGTGATACAACGCACGTGTTGTATTGCGTTTGCATTGCTTGGTGAGAAATTGTAACTGACGCTCGGTGTTCACCGGGTTCGCAGGAATCTTTGGACATACAAGTAAAAAAAAAAGTGCTAAATGTGTATAACTATTGCTATTGTTTCCTACACTCCGGTCTGTCGAGTCGATATTGTTTAAGCCCGAGCTACAACGCGCTCCTTGCGTCCAGAAACATTCAGTTCTGTGGTCGATAAGTGCGCTTAAGAATTTGTGAAAGTTGATAAATTGTATATTACACATTGTCGACGAGTGTTTCGAGCGTCTCGATTTGTTCATGCGAAATGGAGTGGTTTCCAGACGCAAGGGGCGCATTGTAGATTAGGCTCTACGAGCAGCTTCCCCTCGAAAGTCGCGATCCGAGTGCAGCCCTCGTGGCGATTTCGGTACGGATATAGGTTGTAATTATTCTTAACTATTGTAGTACTAACCAAGTGATTATGACATTGTAGCGAAATACATTTTCTAATGGATGTAACGGAAATTGCTCCTTTGTGTCTCGTCTCCTGCGTGTCGCGCGTACGCGCGACTTCATCTCGTAACCCCGGCGAGAAAATGACTCGTCGATCGACGCACGAGCGATCCGGGGGTCAATTCTGCATCTTACACTAGTGAAAATGCTAAAAGCAAGTAGCTTTGTCTCTGTCTAATTGTCCCCTTGGAGACGGAGTCGCTAATTTTTTAGCATTTTCACTATATCGCAGGATACAGAATTGATGCCCTGGAATAATCTCTACATCGACGCCGCCGAAAGTGATGATGCGACATGAAAATTCGTAAATTTGATCGGGAGTGCGCTCTTGGATGCCGCCGTAATTGAGATCACCCGCCAATCGGATTCAGAATTTTTGCTCCAGTCGCGGCTTTTTTTCTGCCGAACGTGGCCATTGTTTCGACGAGTCATTTCAGATCGGGACGTAGATACACGTTCGCGCTCTACGTCCCCGGGGGCTCTAATCTAAAGGCGCGTGGGATCGCGCCTGTGCAGGCATTTGCACGTAGCCGCACGACGTCGCTATCGATTCGCGCGGGCCGCCGCGTGTGACGCGCGGCGCGGCTCTATATGCATCGCCGCGTCCCACGCGACGCGCAAAAATCTGGCGCGACGCGAGAGCGTGCGTGCGTGCGTGCACGCGCGCGGCTCCCGTTTTCTCTCTCTCTCTCTCTCTCCTCTCCCCTTCGACCATAGGTCGGGCATCGATCTCGCGCTAATTTCGCGGGTCGATACGCGGCGCGAAATAGTCCTCTACCCCTACGTCACGCGGCCCCGCTATTATCGCGCGACGCGGCCGCCTTTCTCCCGCGCGTATGTACAGTAAACAGTAGCGTCGCGTCGCCGCTTTTCGACACACGCGTCTCTCGCCCCTTCGTTTTCTCGCCGCGCTCCGTGGACGAGGCGGGACAGCCCCGGGGATCGGCCGAGCGGATCGTCCGCCACCGACGAGCGCGAGTTGACGCGTGCTAATTAAGCTGTGAGTATACATGGCCCTCCCTCTCCCCCACCCTCCCGTCCGCCCGCCCGCCCGCCGCGGGAGGAAGCTGAACGTGGGACTATTTCGCGCGGATAATCGTCGCGAGGACGCGCGCGGAGTAGCCGCGGCCGCGCGCGAGGGGGGGCCCGCTTTCCCCCCTCCCCTCCCTCCCGCCCGAGCGAGGAAAACAGGGTCCCCCCTCCCGCCCCTCTCTAATTCCCGAGGATAAGGGCTTTCCGCGGAGTCCTCGGTTAACGAGCGAGAGAATCCAGGTTAAACGTCCGCGTAGCGGTTGCCCAACGAGCGGGGCGGGGGAGGGGAGGGGAGGCGGCTCGCGTTCGCGGAGACAAAGCTCCCCGCTCGCCCCCTCCCCCTACGCGGCCCTGGACCCACGGCCATAATCCTACATTTATAGCGTCAAGTGTGCGGCCGACTGGTTCTCGATTCGAGGCGGTCGATCGCGCGCGCGCGCGCGCGTGCGATTTCTATTTACATTTGCGCGGACGATATCGCTGCACGCGGCGAGTTGCGGGACGGCGCGAGGCGAGGCGGGCCCGCGACTCGCGTCGTCCGAACAAAGCGCGTACGCGGCGGTCACGTGAGCGCGGTTACGCGCTCGCGTGAATCCCCCAGCGTCCCTCGCGGACGGGACACGTCGCGCCTCGGCTCGTCGCCGCCGTCGCTTATTGATCTCGCTCGCTCGCGCGCGCGCGCGCGCCCGTCGGGAAATCGCGGCGCGCATTTGCATCCCTGAAAACTTATTGGATTTCCGCAGCGCGCGTCGCGTCCATCGATCCATCGAATTCGCCCTCGCCCCCGCCCCCGCGCGCGAGAGATGATGACACGAGTCTCTCTCCCGTCTCTCCGTGTCCCGTGCGCGGCGCGGCGCGCGACATTGTCCGCGGTCTTCCGCGCGCGCGAGAGAGGAGTGCGCGCGATTCGGAGAATCGTCGAGCGCGGCGGGGATGGCGGGGGGCTTGGCGCGGGGCGCGGCGAGCGAGGGGCGACAACGCGGTCGGGAGAGCGTATCGTAGTACGATTTCGTGCGATTGACAGGGCACTCGCGCCGCACTCGATGCACCGGCGACCAATAAGACGCGCCGGCCGGCCGACCGCCCGCCGCCGGATTGGCCGGCGGCGCACCGCGGGCTCCTACGTGCCTCTCGCGCGATTTAATTTCCCGCGGCGGCGGCGGCGGTGGCGGCGGCGGCGGCGGCGGCGGAGGAGTCGGGTAGGCAGGGGCAGGGGCGGCGAGGGGGGCGGTAGGGACGCGCGAGAGAGCCGTGGACTCGGGAGAGCGTCCACTGCCATCGGAGTGTGCGAGGAAACGGATAGTGTATCTAGTTCGCTTCGCGTCCCCGCTCGTGCCCGAGAACCCGCCTCAGGTAGGTAACACCCGAATTCGCGCTCGGGCCGACCGTGCGGTCACTTTTGTGCGCCCGCGCGCGCGCGCGCACGGCCGGGCGTGCAGAAGTGACCGCGGGATCTCGAGGGGGAAAATTTCTCGACCGATTTTCACGCCGCTGCACGTACCGCCCGCCACCATTTTGCGACCGATGGTCGACTGTGTGGAAACGCGTCGCGGCGACAGCGGCGGCGACGGCGACGGCGACGACGGTGCTCTCGGTCACGTCGTCCCGGGACGCGCGACGTCGCCGACCGGTGTCGTACCCCCCCCCCCCCGCGAGAGCGTCGGTCGAGAATTCGGGCGTCCCGAAACGACGCTGCTCTCCGCGGACGCGAATTCCTCGGCTGACAGCGCGTGGGTTTTTTTTCCTCTTCTCGCCGTCTCTTCCTCTCCCTCTCTTTCTCCCTCGTGCCCACTCCCTTCCCCCGCCCCGCTCCCCACCCTTTGTCTCTCGCCTCCACTCCCCGCCCCCCTCGACGTCACGGGGGAACGAAAGTTCGTGCATTGCGCAACGCGCGGCGGTTTTCTCGGTGCGCGGCGAGTCGTGCACCCCCTGCCTCGCGACTAATGCCGCCCCACCACCTTCCTCCTCCCCTCCACCGTACCACTTTTCCCGTTCCTCCGAACTTAGCCGCTCTAAGCGTCGCCGTACGCGTCATCGCTCCGCCGATTAGAAATTTTGCCTATGACTGCAGCTCGTCTCTAATTCCATGCAATTAGCGGCGGACCGCGGCTAACGGCGGAGGAGAAAATGTGCAGGAGCGTCAAATGCGAATCGAAACCCCCCGCCCCCCCCCCAACCCCTTTAGGGATCTTTCGAAACTTGCCCGCGTCCCGCGGAATCTCTCCCCCTCGCTACCCGGGGATGGCATTTTAGTCGGCGATTATTGTCGCAGGTTGAATCATGGCGCGTACCAAGCAGACTGCCCGTAAATCAACGGGAGGTAAGGCTCCCCGCAAGCAGCTCGCGACCAAGGCGGCCAGGAAGAGCGCGCCGTCCACCGGCGGCGTGAAGAAGCCGCATCGTTACAGGTATTGAAATAAAAACAAACTAATGGAGCAAGAGGGTCCGTCGCCCGGTCCCCATTTGTCCGAGGGGGAAACCGCTGAGGGCATTACTGGGCATTACTAGGCATTTTTTGGGCATTAGTTTGGGCAGTCACTGATTGGCTTTTAGAGAGCATCGTTTCGACGTCGACCGACGAGTCATTTCTAGGCTTATGAGCCAAGACCGAGGGGCAAGCCCCTGAGGGCATTGCTGGGCATTACTAGACACTTTTTGGGCATTGGAAAGACAAAACAAGATAATAAGATAAAGTAATGCCCACTGGGCATTGGTGTATGAGATTTTGGTCAGCGGGTCCCCCCTCCCCTCCCCCCCTCTATGCAATTTGTCGCCACGACTACAGCGTTTCTGTGATTCCCCCGACAGGCCCGGTACCGTGGCGCTTCGAGAAATTCGAAGATACCAGAAGTCGACCGAGCTGCTGATCAGGAAGCTGCCGTTCCAGCGTCTGGTCCGTGAGATCGCCCAGGACTTCAAGACCGACCTGCGCTTCCAGAGCGCCGCCATCGGCGCCCTCCAGGAAGCGTCCGAGGCGTACCTCGTCGGTCTCTTCGAGGACACCAATCTGTGCGCGATCCACGCGAAGCGCGTCACGATCATGCCTAAAGACATCCAGCTGGCCCGGCGAATCCGCGGCGAGCGTGCTTAAGAGACGCTATGTAACTCGCATACATACCGTTCACTGCGATCATTATTATTATTATTATTATTATTAATTATTATTATTATTACTATTAATTATCGTTCGCAATCGTCGTGGATGAATCACTTTCATTCCAAGCTCTATATATTTTCTTTTATTCACATAGAGACACGCGCTGTAGGCATTAATCACCCGCCGGTGATTATCCCTCCCTCCCCCCCCCCCCCATTCTCAAACTACACTGAATTCGATGTCGCGAGTCGTAGGACACACGTATCTCATGTTGTCTTTAGTTATCGTCTCCCTTTACTTTTCCTCGCTGATATTCGACTCTTCGGTTCTCTCACACTTGCGTACGCCGGATGGATAATTCACGGATTTATGCGATTTCGTTTGCGCTGAGTTTGGTCAAACGATCATTTCGAGCGGCGTCCGTTCACGTTTCTTTTCCCTCATTTACTCCTTTTGCCGTCATTAATGTTATAGCAACGTCATTATATCGTTATCAGTACTCGGAAAAAAAAAGTGTGCATTAGAGTAAGACACCCTCATAGTAACCCGATGTAGTGCTTAACGTATTAGATCTCTGATTGTACTCGAGTTACATGAATCATTTTGATTACCATTGTGTAAAAATTTGTGTAAAAATAAACGCATTTCTCGTAAATAAATCGAGACTCGCACGATCTTTACCTTGGCTTCGTCCGAACCGCCTGTGAAGTGCTGACGTACGGATTCACATGCGAGTAACAAACACGTACGTGTGCGTCGTTAAATTAAGGGATTTTATTGAGTGAACTTCACATATTCTCATAATAATACAATTCGAGATTGTGATTTTCTATTCGAGAGATAACAATTTTTTTCTTAAATACTTTGCCGGCGATTCGTTTTTCCCGCGTGATGCAGTTTAAAGAACTAAACTTTAGATTTTTCTTTTTTAGAACTAAATTCGGCGCAGTCGCAATCTTGCTAGCCTCTGTTATAAAAAGCTTATACAATTATTGGAATTAATCCAATCGTTCGTCGCAAAAAAAGTAATTACTTTTTCCAATTAAGGAATTTTATTTTTACGGAACATTAAAAAAATAGAAGAATTATGCATGTAGAAATACGTTTGGAGCGCTAAAAAGTACACGTTTTTACAAAGTATACGCACTAATTATTTATAGACAACGATAAATACAAATTATACTATACGCGTTAAAATTATTAAATCCATAAATTATTACTCGTAATCACCTATGAACGTCACAAATATCTCGCTTTTAATAAATAATGATTCCTCCATCACTGCTACACCTATACTTAACGCACGCGAAGTGCCCGAGGCAATAATACAGCAAGTCACAAATTTAGTGAGGGAACAATTTGAAAGAGTTCCACGAGTCGTAAACTGTTATTTTATATTTTGCAACGTCTATGCCTGTCCCTTAATGTCATCCCCGGTCAGAATGTAAGAATTCATTGAGGCCATCGACCTCGTAAAAGAGCGCGAGCGCTAAGATTTTCACGTGGCTTAATCATTCCATTGCCTCAAACTTTTCCCTTGTGTTTACAAATTGCCTCTTCTTTTTCGTACCAACTTTTTAAACGGTTAACAAAGAAAACGTCTCGACGGCGATTGATGCAAGGAGAAGAAGAGTACCTGATTCAGATATACATGTATAAATATTCGGATACAAGTAACGATTACTTTGTTACTTTTACCTCGTTATTCTCGATTATATTTGCATGACAATTAATCGTCGCTTTGCTATACGACTGCACGTTGCTGTGCGTGACGATCGCACATACATATTCATCATATTAATGTAGCGTAGGCTTGAATGTTAGCGTAGTAGAGAGGTCGATTGAAGTTGTCAGTACCAATGGATTTCCCGTCGTTACAGCGACAAAAAGTTTATCCGCGCGCGCGCGCGCAAGTTTCCCCCTTTCGTACATAATAAAATATACTCTTCGTTTATCGCGGCAGTTATGCCGAAACGGAAGCGCCGCGTGTACAGCAGCGATATTACACGCCCTTGTTAACGACAGTTGTGTCGGTATCGCTGAGAAACTATCGCTCGCAATAATTACAGCCGTCGCTCCAAGTATCCATTTCGTACTTGGAACAACTCTGATATTACAGCGATGATTCATCGACGTGCCGTTACAATTATTCTACTCGAGGTTTCCTAATGAGATATCGGCGACGAATATCGTTAACGCCGGGGGAACGGAGCGTCGCTACCGGGGAAACTCGGTACGTTCGAGGAATATCTACGTGAAAATTTACCGTCTTGCGTCCCTGTATACGAGTTTCCGTACGGCCGAGGCACGACGGCGCCTTCCAAATGTTGCGTGAGCCGCCACTCGGTGATTAACTTAACGAAACTCGAATCCACTCGGGACAATTTCCGATTAACGTTAATAGCGGGACTCGCAGCGTGACGTGCGGACACACGGTCGCTGCGACAAATACATCCCTTCCATTATACTCGCTTACAATCGTATGTGGTTGTTGTTCCCCGTGGCTGGGCTTCGGACCTGTCGTCTAGCTCTAATTGAACAGACGCAACAATATCTTTTGTTATAGCCTGCGTTCAGCTGATGCCTTGAGATTAATTTGACACATACATATTTAGAGGGAACATCAATGACGACATCTCTGTCGCGCTGTGCGTATGGGATGCAATAAAAAAAAAGTACAACGGTAGCTATTCATGCAAGGGCGGGGGACTCACAAGTGTAGCGTTTCGTATTTTGTGCGGTATATCCGTTTTCCGTCAATACTTTTTTACAGATTGAGCGACAAAGATAATGTCCCGTCGGCATAGAATATGATGTACTCAATATGGCAGTAAACAGAATAAAAAGAAGCACTCTTTACAATTGTATGCGAACACGTTGTCTCAAAGCTGTCTAAACGTCACACGCATCGTCGCATCATTTTATCGTACAAAATCGAGCAAATTCTTAATGTAATTGCACCTGCCGTGGGTGCTTAGCGTCTATATACAATTATGTACACGCATATATTATCGCTGAAAAGAACGCGTAGCTTATTACCACAGTCTTTCGCAATTTTCGAACATTTTGTACTTGGCTGAATCCTTTTTCCTATATACGCGCGCACGAGATTTAGCTGTCGCGCTAACTGTAAAAGTAATGTATTTTGCAATTATATAAGCGCTCGCTTCATTTTCTACAACGAATTTCTGGAGGACTTGCGTAATGTTTGTCTGCTAACAAACTGAGCATTGGGTAAACTACGCTCTATCACATCTATCACTCTAATGGAACGACACGAATTGTGATTGCCTTGTATATTATATATATATACATTTTAGTTGTAACTACTTCACGTTTCAATTTATACAAGTGTGTGCAAATTCAAACGTTGTGGGGGGATGCTATCTGCTGCACTTTGCATTAATTTCCACGTGCACGCGACACAAGTGTGAGGAACCATTGTACACGTTCGCCTCGGGAAAATAAATAAGCGCGCAAATAGATTTGAACTTCGAAAGAATAATGAAATTCGATGAAATAAAATTTAGGTTTTTCAAGTAATCTCAAGTATAGCTTCCAATGCAGAAAATAATCATACGTTAATTTTTTAACGTACTCAAACATGGCAACAAGTGGCTAAAATACTATGTCATCGTCATTGATTACTTGTACATTGTTTTAATTTTAACGGTGGTCTATAAGAAGCACAAGCAGACAAGCTATAAACTTCTTATTTATATATATATAAATATAAAAGCATTATAAATAGTAACTGAGCAAATTAAAATAAATGTAACGCGGCGTAAAGGAATTTTTAATTGCGTAAATTTAATTAAAAATAAAGAATCTTTGCTATAGATAATAAGGGCAGTCATCTATCAAGTAGGCGAGCCATCTATTTGTATCAAACGTCTCGATACTCTAGGAAGATCTACGTAGTATTGCGTAAAAAGCCTTAAATATACATATATAAATTGCAAGGTCTTGGCGCTGACCGTAACAAGCATAATCGATAGAAACACAACCAACATATTACAGTAACAATAAGTACATTAAGTCAGTGAGTATATCGTGTACCACAATCATGCGATTTTGTTCGGAATTTCGAGACTTGTCGTAGAACGTGCTTTCGAGATTGATTGTTAACGGCAAGATAATAAAAAAGTGTAAGATGGATACATCATGGTGTTTACTTGTGAGTACAGTGCACGATGAAAACAGGAGTATAACAATTTAACATGATTAAAACGTGACTGTTGTGTTACCTGTAGAGATCGCGGGTGACTTGATCTTCTCGAAAAGCGTTCCTGCACGTGTTCAGCTTATTCTCCAAAGCCTGCAGAGAAGAGTAATTGTGATTAGAAATATGCCACTTTTCAACGATACCTTCGGAGCTGTGATAGTGCGACAAATGTTATATCGAGAAGATTGCAACAAATGTGTTGAATTAACGAGGGTGTGACGAATGTTAGTTAGCAGAAGTGTTAGGAGCACGTAGAGTCATTTGAATGCTCAAATTAACATGGAGTGGACTCGGCGATGCATATAAACCAGGAAAATGAACGGATGGATGAGCAAAAGCGTTTGTAATAACGAGAAAATAAAATAACGAGACCTGCTCTTTAAGGAGGTGCAAAATAATTTAATGGTGAGAAATCACGACGAGGATCTGCACGCGGTCGGTCTAGGTTGTTGTCTTATACACTGAGCAGACGCGTGAGTCTGGGCCGCCGATGGGCCAGTAGACGACGTGGTATTCGATTTTTGTCCGCTCGGACAAGTGCATTTTATTCTCCTACAGCCCATACAGACCCACCTGTCAAGCTACCAAAATGCCAGCTACATCACACTACCTCCCAATTACATTGAGTGAAAATCAATTCCAACTTATTTACAACGTATAGGAAATATCTATATTCTCCTCTTTGATTGCGATACGTTCTTTGAACGAGTGCATCGACCATAAAAACTGAATCCATATAAAATAATTGCTTTGTACCATCAAATTCGTATACAGCAACTGTAAACGGTATAATTTACGTTACGCATAAAGGTTCGGAAAAAAAAAACATACAAGCCATGCTTCAAGCTTAGAAAACTACGAGGGTAATAAAGAAGTACTATCAGAGTATTGCATGCGCTTACCCCGACTTTTCGCATAAGGTCACCAATCATATTCATTGCCAGTATTCTAGTGCAGGGTGGCAATGGTTGGCTATTGTTATTGTTGTTCCCAATAACACCCCCTACCATCCCGTGTCCAACTAATGAAAAACACAAGAATAAGAATTAATATGACTCGCGACAATTATTTTGCGTTGCCAAGTAAAATGCAAATTTGTCAAGTCTATCGTCGGATTTGTACACTTTCAATATTACGTCAAAAGAATTTCTGGAAAAGCCGAAACAAAGAAAAAGGAAATACTGTCAAAAATATTTATTTAGTTACATCAATACGTACTGCACACTGTCCTCATCACTTTTCAATTTCACAAGTTATTAAATGGTCAAATATCTCAAGATAAGAAGTAAAGCACGGAAGAGAGATGAAAGTTAGAGAGTATTTCTAGTCATTTCCACTTCATGCAGTACATGTCTATTATATATTTTTTCTTCTTAACCGTTGTAGCGCTTTTTTGACGTCTGCATGGATTTGTACTATCTACCAATTTTGACGATTACTTTCTCGACGCAAAGCGAAAAATGTTCTTTGCCTTGACAAAAACTCTGCGCCACCTACTTTTTATCGGTGAAGTCGTCGTATTATTCTGAGGTATGGTCTGTGGGACTATTTGGCTGGCAGGTGAATTCGACTCCAATTCGGCCTGTAGCTTATTACTATCGACGATGCTGCGAACTCTCTCAGCTGACTTGTTATTGTCGGCGTGATGTCTCTCGTGTACTTGTATCTCCTGCTTCAAGTCTGAAACATCGCGGGATAAATTAGGCGTCGTCGCGTCGAACGAATGAAGAGGGACGACCAATTACCTCTAACTTCGTCCATCAGTCTTTGCACTATGACTTTCAGGCCTTCTTTCTCATCGAGTTCCGACTCGAGCAGAGCGTTCTTCTCTATAGCTAAATTAAACTTAGCTTCTATTTCCTCTTCCGTGACCCTGTTTATCCTACGAGAGAGATATCGCTTTCGTTAACTATCAAGTTGTCAACACAGTCAGTTTAGTGCGAAAATATGAGAGTACCTGTGTGCTCTTTCCAAGTCGTCATTCTTTTGCTCGAGCTCCCTGATATACTTCAGTAGATGCTCCTGCTGTTGCTGCAAATCCTGCGCCTTTCCCTGGAACATGGCGCAATCCGTAGACTGCTGATCCAATCGAGTTCTCAACTGTTCCACCTCCGTGGCGAGCCTCGTGTTTCTCTGCCTCAGTTCCCTATTCGTCTTCTCCGCCTGCTCCAGCGAGGTCTCCAGCTCCTTCTCCAGCATCTGCGAGTTCTCTTGGAACTCCTCCAGTTCCCGTTCGACATCTTCTTTCCTGTGATATCAATAAACATTGTCAACTCTTCCCTTTTGAAGAGAAGTCTTTGTGGGAAATTTTTATTATACGTCTACCATGCTTAAAGAATACTGCACTTGCATTCCGATCACATAGAAAAGGATGACACTCTTATATACCCGTTTCTACCAATGCAGATTAACATGAATTTCGGTTTAAATTACTCTTAATCTTTTTCCAATTCTTTTTCCAAGCAAGTTAAACCGGGACTAAAGGCGATTTTTGGCGACTGTCTGGTACCAAAGTATACCAGAGCGTACACTCAGCGTCACGAATGCCTTTACACCTGAAGAAAAGACATCCAGTAGGAAAATTCATTTTGATAAAATGAATATATTGAACTTAACGGCTACTGTCGGGTGTCAAAGCATCCATGACGCCGAGTGTACACTCCGGGTACACTTTGGTGTATGTAGCATAAAAATGTGGCATTTGAAATACAATTACATATCGTTTGTCGATTTGAATATGTGAATTTGCTGACGACAGTAACTCTGCCTGTAAGAAAACTGAGTTATGTCCGAAAGGAAACCGGCGCGCAGGACAAATGTGGAAAGAAACGATACATGAATTCACATTTTGCCTTGCGACCCACATTGGCGTTTTCTCAAATGTTGTTTAACTTTGGTACATGTACCAGACAATCGCCAAAAGTCACCTAGGTATGCCCAGACAGTATGCGTGTCTAAAAGACACATTTAAGGCGCCATTAACCCTTTGCACTCCGAATTATATTTTATCTATTTTCGTCCATTGGTTTGGACTTGAAAAAATGTCGAGTGAGACTCGACAACGGAGCTCCTGAGATAAAAACTGATGTCGAGTCACACTTGACATAGGAGTGCAAAGGGTTAAGTTGTTTCTCAGGCCCAGTCTACAATGAGTTGTTAGTCAGAAGTCAGAACTGCACGTCGGCTCTTCTTCTTCCACTCAGAAGGGAAAAGGATTGACATGCAGTTCCGGCTTCTGACTAACAACTCGTAGACCAGGCCTTAGACGTGTACATCTAAAAGATGTCTCAAAGATATCTTTATGACGCTTCTTTAGACACGTGTGTTGTCTGGGTAGCTAATCCGCATTGGTAGAAACGGACATTAGAACGGAGCCGCATCTCGGGTCTGTAAAATAACAACACTCTTCACTCGATTTTGTTGAATTGCCTAAGAAGCCAACGATACGAGCTCTTGATGACTGACCACCAAGGATTACTTCCTGCGCCTCGTCACAAGGCTGATCTACCTTTGTAGCAGTTGGTTCGCAAGATCCATCCAATACTGAATCTCGTCGTCCTTGGACAGAAACTCCGGCGGGTCTATATCCATCATTGCCGTCGGGGATGGTCGAAGGGCTGGTGCGGTCTTGCTGTTCGCCGATCCTTCAACGTCTCCGGGTCGCTGCGGATGATACGATCGTCCACTCACGTGCCGCGCACTGACATCCTGCAAGGAGGCAAGCGTGACGAAATCTCTCGATCGGAAAGAAACGCCTCGGCATTCGGCCGACGGATTTTCGTTTGGCGCTACAGTCCGAGCCGTTCAGTCTCGAGCATGTCGAGGGCGCATCCCGCGATCCTCGGTACGGAGGCGAACTCACAGGAACTTTCGGAGTCGGTGGATCCCCAGATCGGGGACGCCTGTCCCTCGAACGTGCTCTCGACGTCCCGTGGACGAACGGATCTTGGGCAATCGCTCCGCGGGCGAGACGTAGTCGCGTGTAACGCTAATGTCATTACCGTGTTATTATGAGTCACACTGGCTGGCGAGGAGGTGCAGGCAGGCGCGTAGAAAAATCGGTGGTGCACTGATGGTGAAAGAGTGAGAGAGAGAGAGAGGGAGGGGAGGGAGGCAGGCGCCTTTCAACGGATGTCGTCGATTCGTATCTCGTGTCGAGCAGGCGCACTGAACCCCGTCGTGCACGTCGCGCTCGCCGATCGCGGCCAATCGCGACGACGGCGGACTTTCACATTTGATCGCGGGCCCCGACGCAGTACGCACGGTCGCTGGCGGGCTCAAAGATCGCGGCAAAATGGCGGACGGCACGTTGGAGAGAGTCCAAGAGCGAGTGCATGCGAGAACGTGGGCGCGCGGGACGAATACACGGCTCCGACGAGAGAAATTGAAGAACGGGCTGAAGTTTGAGAGGCACCGTTAAAACACAGGCGGCCTGTGGATACGCGGATAAGCTAGACGGATCCGCGCGTATTTCCGATCGCTACGACGGCGATAAGAATACTTTACGCTCCGTCCACATGTTTCTGCGTCCGCGGTTGTGCTTCATGTGCAGCCACCCTAAAGCCCGTATCGGATTGGGATTGGGATTAGATTGAAATTTAACCAATCACAGTAAAGTTTACTAATCTTAAGTTCAGTAAAGCCCGTATCAGGGGCTCGATTTTTGAATTTATTCGAAGGAGAAACGTATGCGAAAATTCTGCTCTTACAGAAAAGTTGCAAGTTGATTGGCTACTCGCATGGCTTTAACCAATAGATTTTCAACTTTTCTGTCAGAGCAGAGTTTTCGTATACGTTTCTTCTTCGAATAAATTCAAGAATCGGGCCCCAGACTACTACGGATTGAGATTGGGATTAGATCGAAATTTGACCAATCAGAGTAAAAGTTACTGAACTTGAGATTAGTAAACTTTAGTCCCAGTCTACAATAGATGATTTAAGCCCTAAGCTTTAAGAAATTGGCCAATCACGGTCAAGTATGAGTAGAATGCGCGACTGTGATTAGTCAATTTTTTAAGGCTTAGGGCTTAAATCTCTATTGTAGACTGGGACTTACTGTGATTGGTTAAATTTCAATCTAATCCCAATCTCAATCCGTAGTCTGATACGGGCTTAACTTTTACTCTGATTGGTCAAATTTCAATCTAATCCCAATCTCAATCCGTAGTCTGATACGGGCTTTAAGCAGCTTTTTCTGCTGGACTGATCTCCGCTTTCGCGAGAGATCAAAATGATTAAGGGTGGCGTCCCATGGAGCGGAATACGCGGAAGCGGAATCAGCGGATCGCCAATCACAAGACCGTTTCGACGGAATTTTTGAAAGGGCTCTATCAGAATAATCTTGCGATTGGCGATCCGCTGATTCCGCTTCCGCGTATTCCGCTCCATGGGACTCCACCCTAATTGATCTTCTCGCGAAAGCAGCCCCGAACGCGCGGCCAATGCGTTCGACGGAAGAAAGTTAAAGTCCCTAGGAAAGAACAAGAGTGTCCTTTGCAGTGAGTTCAAGTTTCCATGGTTGGCATCGCTAGTGTATATAAAAGCGGCCGTGCGGCGTTACTTCCTCCATTTTCTTCGTCAACGGCATCATGGTAAGTTCAGTGTTCGATGAGTTCGCGAATCCAACGAAATTTGTTAATTTCTTTCGGCATCGGCGTCTCAAAGCTACGCGATCGCGTTCTCGAATATTTCCTTCGAACTTCTAGCTAAATATTATAGTTAATATCGATGTTATCGTCTGCGTTTTCGACGACTTCAGAGAGAGACGATTTTACAGGCACATGGCGCCTTTCGGCGCCTCGAGACGATTTATGTCGTTAAGATGATGATTTAGATTATAAAGTTTATGGTTTTCGTCTGAATTACCATGACGAAATGACTCTAGGGCGGTCTGATGGTCCGATTTTTTCGAGAAAAATCATGATCGCGTGCTAGTGCCACGTGTTAAATTTCTGCGTCTCGTGTTTCAGTCGCACAGAAAATTCAGCGCCCCTCGACACGGGTCGATGGGGTTCTACCCGAAAAAGAGGTCCCAGAGGCATCGCGGAAAAGTAAAGGCTTTCCCGAAGGATGATCCTAGCAAGCCCGTGCACTTGACGGCTTTCATCGGCTACAAGGCCGGTATGACTCACGTCGTGAGGGAAGCCGATCGTCCTGGGTCGAGTGAGTAATTTTTACCGGGAAGAATCTGATCAGCGTGTTCTAGGCAGAAATACCGAATACTAGAAATTCAACTTTGTGTCCACTTGCAATTCAAGTTTTAATCTCGGTTTAATTATTTTACCTTATTCCAATTTCAAAAACTGGGGAAGAAGCAAGTTAAACCGAGGTTAAAGTTAATTTACATTGATAGAAATGGACGTTAAGGCCTGGTTTCACCAACATCGCTTTTTTCTAGTTTAATCTACAGGCACAGACTTGATTTAATTCACGTTTGTCTCTTTCTAATCTAACAGTTGGAAAGAGACGAAGAACGAATTAAGCCAAGCCCAAAGTTAAGCGACGTTGGTGAAACCGAGTACAGACGTTCTTTGCGCTTAACGCTCGGTCAAAAAACGCGCGTGAACTCGCGACGTGTTAACCCGGGTGTCGATCGGCGCAGAGATGCGTCGATCCGCCTGGGTTGCGGTGCGAGAGCTGCCCTCGATGCAGTACGTTCTCAATACCGCCACGTCGAAGAGCAACGCCGTGCGCGCTGCTCGCGCGGAACGCATGGAAACCAGGTATATTCCATAAACTCTTTGGAGCCCGTCGGGCGGTAACCACTGAGGCAAACCATACCTAGTACAGTCCCTTCCCCGAAACTAGCTCGTTTCTTTGTAACTTGACGCGTATTCTAAGTACCGGCCGTTTTCTCGCAGAGGTAAACAAGAAGGAGATCGTGGAGGCCGTCACCATCCTCGAGACGCCGCCGATGATCGTTGTCGGTCTCGTCGGCTACATCGAGACGCCGCATGGTCTCCGGGCGCTCGCCACCGTCTGGGCGGAGCATCTGTCGGAGGATTGCCGCAGGCGTTTCTACAAGAACTGGTTAGTAGGAGCGGCCGACCGCGTTCGTTACTTAAGACGCTCGAGAATGAGCGCGCGTGTTTGTATTGGCGGTAGAATTTGCATAAGCTACGTACGACGTGTTGACCTGGGCATCGATCGACGCGGAAACGCGCCGTTCCGTCCGGGTTGCAGTGCGAGAGCTGCTTTCAGTGCAGTAAGTTTTCGAGACTGCCACGTCGAAGAGAAACTCTGTGCCCTGCTTGCGCGGGCTGCATGGTAGCGAGGCATATTCCATAGACTTTTTGGAGCCCATTGGGCAGTGACCATTGAGACAAACCATGCCTGGTACAGTTCTTTTCTTGAAAAAAAAAAACCTATACTGTTACTCGTCTTGTGTACACGATACTAAAATTGTCGCATCAGCTCTCCGCTCGCACGATGAGAGCAATCACTTGGATGTGGCCATTAAAGCTTGCTTTATAACGTGGCTGGTCTGAGAAATGTGCCCGGTCTCCGCTCGTTACGATGAGACCGGCGCGTTGCAGAGACACCCGGGCGTGGCGTAGACACGTACACGGACGGGCATTGCAATTGGCTTTCCAACAGGTATAAGAGCAAGAAGAAGGCGTTCACGAAAGCGTCGAAGAAGTGGCAGGACGACCTCGGCCGCAAGTCCATCGAGGCGGATCTCAAGAAGATCGTCAAGTACTGCAGCGTCGTTCGCATAATCGCGCACACTCAGGTACGACATTGAGGTACACCGATTCTGTCGCAAAGATCACGATCATCAAGAAGTAGCATCTAATCTTCTCGCCGTCCCTTAGATGAAACTGCTGAGGCAGCGTCAGAAGAAAGCTCACATTATGGAGATCCAGTTGAACGGCGGCACCATCAGTGATAAGGTGCAATGGGCGCGCGAGCATCTGGAGAAACCTGTGCCCATCAGTAACGTGTTCGCTGCCGACGAGATGATCGACGTGATCGGCGTTACCAAGGGAAAGGGCTACAAGGGTACGTTCCTCTGTGCATACATAGAGGAAATTCCCCCATTACGAGCTAGGCTTCTAATACGAGACAGCGGAGTTTCCGCTAAATTAATTGGCATCGTCTGTTGGTTCCACCATGAATATGTCGCCCTTGGTGTGAATTCTCTGCTTGGTGGAAGAATTGATGGATCGCGTAATTGTTGCGAAAAAGGATCTGCGATTGAACTTGGACGTTGAAAACCTGCTGTCTCGTACTAGAGTCCTATCATAATTGTGGACTTTCCTCTACGTGTTGTGTGTGTTGCTCGCCCCCGTCCCCGGAATTGCTGCTCTGTGGCCCCCCCTGCCCTGCCCCAACACACACGTCCCGAGAAGCATGCTTTTGAGAAAGCACTTAGGACTACATGATGAAAAAAGCATGACGTGCACTTGTCTGATTATCTTGAGGATAATACCATGCTGCCTTCCTACTGAGGTCCTTTACCAAAGAAAAGAAAACTAACTGTCAACTCTACGAGTCTGGCTTTCTTGTTCAGCGAGCGTGCGCGATTCTTGAAAAGGAAGGGGAAAAGAAACTGACATTTTTCTCACTCTTCGCAGGCGTTACGTCCAGGTGGCACACGAAGAAATTGCCGCGCAAAACTCACAAGGGTCTGAGGAAGGTCGCCTGTATCGGCGCGTGGCATCCCAGCCGCGTGTCCTTCACCGTGGCGCGCGCCGGTCAGAAGGGATACCACCATCGCACCGAGATGAACAAGAAGATCTACAGGATCGGACAGGGCATCCATACCAAGGACGGCAGGGTAATTATCGCCTCGGTTCCGTGGAATTGTCCGCGCGCGCCTCTTTCCCCGTCGATCTTTGGAACACGAGAAGAAGATTGATTCTTAACTTTGAAAGAGGCGAGATTAACGTTACTTGCTCATAGTACCTAAAGCATATAACTTTCATTGGTGCTTTAGGCCTCCAAGACAAGTCACAAAGTTGCACTCGACAAATTCTCCGCCCACGGTCACAAAATCTGAAGACTGATGTGTTATGTCTCTTTAAATCTTTGTAGATCGTCAAGAACAATGCTTCGACGGAGTACGATCTTACCGACAAGAGCATCACGCCGATGGGTGGCTTCCCGCATTACGGTGAAGTGAACAACGACTTCATCATGATCAAGGGATGCTGCATGGGCCCGAAGAAGCGCGTCATCACGCTCAGGAAGGTAAGAACCGACGGTAAACTACGGGCGAACGATACATCGATCTGCGTTCTCATGATGCATTTCCCAAAGAGCCAAATATTATAATTGATCACGATGATAAGAATTATGATAGGACTGATCGAATACTCGACGTCGTACCGGTCGATGTTTATAAGCTAGATTAACGTAAACGTGAGAACGTATTTTGCAGTCCTTGTTGGTGCACACCAAGAGATCGGCGCTGGAGAAGATCAACCTCAAGTTCATCGACACCAGCTCCAAATTCGGACACGGTCGCTTCCAAACCGCGGTCGACAAGGCCTCCTTCATGGGACAGCTCAAGAAGGACCGTCTTCGCGAGGAAGAAGCACGTACCGTTGGTGTGGCGGCCGCCACGCCAGCACAGTAAAACCAATCTTCTACTGTGTACCATTTTTTTGAGAGAAAAAAAATAAATTTAAAAATCAGACTGGTTCGATTCATTTTCTCTCACGTGTTCCTCCTAGCAACCTTAAATGACTGAATCTGTCTTTAATTGTAGTTTATCATGAAATTTTTATACGCAAATGTTATTAATTTTGAGAAATTGTTTTCGAAGTTGATTGCCTGTTCAACATAAAATTCAAATGTCCTGATTCTGGAGCGACGCAAGATGACAGCCAATCGGGCTCGTCAGCTCTTTTTTTCCTATTTTGATTCGTTCCGCTCTGTTATCAGAAGTAACAATCGACATGTAGAATGAGAGGCGGAAAATATATTCCGTCTCTCTTTAGTAAGCCCGATTGGTCGCCGTAATCTCAGCCACCAATCAGACTTGCTGAACAGAGACGGAGCGTGTCCTCGTATCATCCGCCTCGCTCTACTCGCGCGGTGCCCCCACCATAGCGATCAACAGTCCATTCTATGTCGATCCGAATGTCCCGTGCGTGCATCGCGCAGCGCCCGTGTTTTGCACTGACCAGCAAAGGCTCCGGGAGAGGAATACGTTGATCATTGCCGTCGAATTTGCTTCTATTCGACCTAGGACAATGGCGGAGAAAGACAACATAATGATCAAACTTATGAACTCTTTCTTGTACATAATAGATACGCCGGTCACCTACGTCCGAGGTATTATCTAATCGGTTTGGTTATGTTGTTTGCCTCGCGGCCACCTTCTCCAACGTACCTTTTCCGTTGCAGAGAAGTTCGTGGTGCCGAACCAAAAGAAGTACCCCTGGTACCACCAGCAATACCGTCGCGTGCCGACGATCGACGAGTGTTACACGGACGACGTGGTTTGTTACACCGAGGCAAATTGTCAATTCTTACGCGATAAGTAAATTAAAGTTTTTATGAAATATTAGAGGTAGAGAAGGCGACAGGGGTGGCGTCCCCGATGTCGCGACGGCAGTCAATAATCGCGTCGTTGTACAGCGTATCGGTTCCCATTCCTTAAACACTCTTCCTTGTTTCTTTTCGTTTGTAGATCAGTCGAGGATGAAATTCTCTTCATTCTGAGAAGCCGTTTCGAACAGTGCGCCTTCTATCACGGCGACGACGCACATTTGTGCGACGACTTGAAGAGGACTTATGATGAAGCGGCTGTAAATTGGTTTGTGAAATGTGAGTACGCGCCCGTGACAGAAATTAAATAATCCCGCAGTCTAAGGCCCGGTTTCACCAAACGTCGTTTAACTTTAGTCCTAGTTTAATTCACGTTTGTCACTTTCTAAAGTAACAGTTGAAAAGAGACGAAGAACCAAGTAAGCTAAGCTTAAAGTTAAACAACGTTTGTGAAACTGGACCTAAGGCTCGGTTTCACCAAACGTCGCTTAACTTTGATCTTGGTTCAATTCGTGTTTGTCTCTTACCGAAGTAACAGTTGGAAAGAGACAGCGAACGAATTGAGCTAAGCTTAAAGTTAAGCGACGATTGGTGAAACCAGGCCCAAGTTACTTCTCGCAAACGAGCAAACTTGGTCCAATCGGTAGATCTGACATGAATTAAGGAATCTTTACTGTTTGGAGGAGTTTACATGTTCCAAGGAGAGAATGTAGTTTGGTGATTATTCAATTAAAAATGAAAAAAGACTATAGTCCTATCGCAGAGCATTGTATCAAGTCTCGTAGGGCATAAAACCGCAATGAGTTTGATATATTTCTATTCAAACCCCTCGATTTCCTTGTATGCGCAGATGGTGAAATGGGAGTGGCTATAAACGCGAAAAACGCGTACATGAAGCAGAAACATCGTATGATCTGGGAACGCCGTCACGGTCCAGTGGGCACCGGCATGAAGGACGATAAAAAGGCGTAGCAACTTGCACCGGCGTCGTAGATGACAATTTAATGGCAAACGCATTCGCATAATGAAATCGCAGGTTTGCTTAACGTGTACAGATGTGTTGTGACTCGAGAGTACGGCGGGATAATAAAAGTAATTTATCAAAGTTCTTCACCTCTCATTCGCAATCTCGACGACACAAGAGGGGCGCGCGCGTGGCGCGGATCGAGCAGCAAATCTCCTTTGTGTTGCATGAATTAATCTTTCCTTTTATTCCTTCATTGTACAATATATAAAAAAGATTATACCTATTGTACACGTGTATCAAATTAATTTATGAAATACTCATTTAGACACGATTCCATCGATGATTTATACATTACAATTTCTCTTGTTTGTTATTACGGTAAAATCATCTTACATATACATATATACGAATTCTCATTTACAGTTTTTCCTCCGCTTTGAACATTGTGTTTCAGCAAGATAAATTGTGTTCATCCATCATTTCGAATGCCAGAGCAGATTGGGTGCGCATAAAACTCATTAGGCATTTAGCACGCTGGACCTCGCGTGGTGCATCTTACGCGGCGACGTACCACACGTGAACGTTAAATATTTCTGATTGAACGAATTAAAAGCTACTTGCCATAGGACGCCGTTACGCACACGAAAATTCTTTCACGCAAATATAAAATACAATAGGATTCATAATTATGCATAAATATATAACACGTAACGAAACGATTTCCCCGAATAGGAATAAATTAACAAAATATTTAAAAAAAGGTCACTACACGAATACTACACGATTCCTGCAGCTATTATAATACCTGATGGCTGTAACTGTCATTCAGCGTACCGCAAATTTCTTAGCGACTCAACGCAAGCATTTAATCTATTTCTCTTTCAAATTGATTTCTTTAAAATAGCGTACAAATTGACCAACTAGTATCGCATAAAACTTGGAATCCATTGTAGCTATAATTCTACAGTACAATCTATAATCGATTTCTCTATGCTGCAAATTATTACACGTCCATGTCATATTTACAATGAGCATGAAGCATACAAGATTAAAAGTGAGATCATTCCCTTTTCTGTACATTTCGAAGACTCTTATTATACACCTTATATTATACGCACTTAATATATCAACGAAACGGTATAAAAAAATAATTCTATATCAGGCAGAGTCACAAAACCTCGTATTCACACCATCGCTCTTTATACGAAAAGAAAAAAGGAACGATATCGCGCAATGGCTGCCACAGAGGTATACTCGATGCGAACTTTTGTCTCGTCTCCTCTCGAATAAAATTACATGATACTTATCGCCATTTAGTAATTACCGGACGAATTTGTCTCAACGACTCCCGTTAAAATTTCATCTCTCGTCGCACCATTACGTTATATCCTCCTGATTCTGCCAGTGAGCACTGACCATCGGAACATTCAAGATTTTCCATCGATAAAATTGTTCTCTCTTCTCTTACGTATATCGTGAAAATCGCGTGGCAACATATTACAGCGTTTTACGCTCCAATTTTACATACGTGTCTCCTCACTGTATTCGTAACATTCATTCACATGACACATTCGTAAAAGAATTATACATTGAGCAGTAAAAAAAATATATCAATGGTGAATGGAGAGAAATTCGATAAGACGATTAACAAGATGAATAACTGAAGGTGCATGGTAGACAAGAGAATTTTCGCTTATCTTGTAATTGGCAACAATTATATACGTAATATCTTTCTCGGACATATAGTATGTTATATGAGTGCAAATCACATTGTCTCTGCCAATGTGAACGTAGGCAAATCGAAAGAAGCGTTTCAACAATAATTGATTTACACAAGGAAAGTAGTTAATGTACTCGATGACTGTGGAATCTAGTCTAGTATTCTCCTAGTTTTGTTTAATGAGTATAAAACAAGAAAAGGAACGGGTATCAAAATTATATCTTTCTTTTTTTTCCCCCATGATATGTATCATTAACAAGTTGAAACAATCAAGTAAAAGTTGATTGTAAATTCGATACAAACATAAATAAGACTAAAATAACATCAAATAAATAGACTGTTCATAAAAAGAATTAGATACGATATAAAAAATCTAAATTGTATAGTTCCAAAAAATGTACCGAGCCACGCTTCTTGTTGTGCGATTTACCGAAAAATTAATTATTGCCATCCCAAGCTCCCTTCTTAGTGTAGTATTTACTATCGTCTCGTTCCTTTTTATATCCTATATCACAGTACAGAAAAATGCTACATGTTTTCTAAATCATCAGCACATGTCATTCGGTATAAACGTCGCTCACGCATTTCCTATTACGATCCAGATTATATCAATCACATATCTACTCGATGTATATTTTCATACTTTTTGAAAATAACTTGTGCTATAGTCGCTTCCATCCGATTTGCATATACATTTAATCTATACACAGAACTGTTGTAAATTTCGAGTATAAATAAAGTACGGTACCTACCATTCATGGAACAGTGTATAGGTAATTTAATTCAGTTTAGGAGGCGGTCTATCGAAGTCCGTTCAAGTCCATAGTTTCTTGTTATCCCCATGAAGAAATCGATTAAACACAATCTGATTTTGATCCTGAGTTTATCACTTTTTAACGTCTCCCTTTCTTTGCGTATTTCTCTACTTACGGCTCGATCGGCTGGTTGAACTGGGCCGCCAGACGTCTCTTGCCTTTAACTAGCGAGATAAACATAGTTTTCGTATTTGATGTCTTAAAGCGAATCAATATAATACGTACAATAAAACGGTTCATAAAATATTAATTGACACACGGAAGATGATTTCTCTCTCTCTTTTTTTTTAAGTAATATCGTTACTTACAGAGTTTACTAGAAGTGCTATGATTATCGCTGCTTTCGTCATCGTCGATAATGTTGTCTTCGCTTTCGGAACTTGCAAGATTGAATTGCATCCTCGCGTTGCTGGCAGTCTTCTTCTGATTATCTGCCAATATCTTCTTCTTGGGTGTCAACGACAGAGAAGGAAGCGGCAATTCCGACGGATGTGGTGCAACGACAGGCTTGTGATAGTAAGGAGAGGTGGGCGGATACAAGGGATTGGCAGCAGCGGGCAATAGATTTTTCGTTGGTGACAACAAGTTCGATATATCGTCGTTGGACAGAATCTGATTCCAGCTTGGCAGGGTCAGCGGGGGAACCTGAGAAGGAACGATGGATTAACAAACTCTACGTAGAGGAGAAACATTTTTCTATATGTAAACATACTCGGTGGAGAAACGTACCTGTACATTCGTGGAATGTTCATCTTGCGGATACGTAAACTTTGTCGGGGACCACAGCGATGATTTCCAGTGTTCTTCCTTGCACACGATGTCCTGCGAGAGAAAACGATAAATCAGTCGTGCCAATTGGGCGTGTATCGGGACGAATTTTAACGTCGATTCAAGTACCTCGGGCGGGGAGTCGGGCTTGGGCGGGAAATTACGTTGCATTATCGGTGTGCGCATCAAGCTGCTGAGGAAGCTTTCACCGCCGCTCTTTGGCATCGCCCAGTTGATCGAGCACTCGTCCGAACTCGGCAAGTTCTTCCAATGCTTATCTGTGTGAGTCTCCGGCCACAGATCCTTATCGTTCTTCACTTTCCAAGAGTTAATACTTGTCAATTGATCGATCCACTTCTCGTGATCGTCCATCATGTTCAGAGTACCAGGGATGTTCGCGCGACAGGAGGAATCGCTCTCGAACGAATCGTTGCTGGAATCCGTGTCGTGATAAGACTGCATCGGCTTGTATACTGATGTCAAACGTATACCGGCGGTAGCTTAAAAAGTAAAAAAGAGAAAACAAATTAGTGCGATACCGAGCAACGTGAGGTAGGTTTTACGCCAACGATTTACTTACCGGCTAACTTTTTATTCAAATAGATAATCGGTTCCTTCTTTCTTGTCTCCTTTATCGTTACGGTGCAAGGCAAGGCTTGTAAAAGTGCGGTTACCGTTGGGAAACCATACTGTGCGGGTTTACAAGGTGAGCCTATGATATTTAAGTATGACGCCTCAAACTGCGATAAGTTTAATGTACCACCGTAATTCATCATTACGCGATGAAGGTCACAGGCGAAGCGATGCAATGGTGTCAGCTCGATAAACTGTTCGCCGTTTATCACTGTGAACTGAAAGATATATTTTTAACGTGACACCAATGCATAAAAAGTGCCCTACGTTGTTTAGAATATTTAATCAGCCCGTTCTAATGCCTCGAGGCATTTTAATAGCAGCATAAGCAACGGGTCGCGCCTGCAAATGAAATTTACACATACCCGAACAACGTGTGTTAGATCTTTTTTAAACTCATCTAGATTACATTGCTTCATATAATACTGAGCGTGTTGCTGTACGAATTCTCTGACAAGCATCCTATATTGGGGCTGATCCATCAACACACGCCGGCATTGGAGGGTTGTTTGCTGCAAATGTGACTTGTCTATTGTGATGATAGCCGGTCCTGTAGCCAAATCTATGACCTGCGATACAAGAGAGTCCAAACAGTCAATATTATCAAAGTGTTATATGTACAAGCGATCGCTAGATCGACTGTGCGATGGCTGTCGCGTTACCTGAATGGTGTCGTTGAGCTTTTGCATAAGCTGCAACATCGAACTGCAGCTGTACATCTCGGGACGTAGCGCGTAGCCGAATTGATGCTGGAACATCTGCGCGATGCTCGAAATGCTTAGGCCGCTTCTGGTGCGCATCACCAACTTTGATATGTGCTCGCAGAGGACCTTAAGACCTTCTTTTTCGGTCAAGGATATCTGTCTCTCGCCTCCGTTTACCTCCTCGATCTTGACTACGTCCGGGATCGCTTCGAACAGCTCGATCAACTTGGTGAATCCGTAATCCGACACGCGGCATTGATGGCCGAAGTGATGATGATAGGATGGTACAAACTTGTTGAACAGCATCTTGCATTGCGGCGCGTGTTGCAGTAACTCGACCACCTGTTAAATTACAAAGTTTCGAGATGTACGAAATTTAAACGCAATTAAAACATATCCTTCCAATCGCGCACCTCTTTGGCGAACAGTTTCGTTCGCTCGATCTCTTCGACAGTCTGCTCGCGTTTAGGGATGGCTATCATTTTATCGCCGCCTTCTATAGGAGTCACGACAACCGTGTTCTCGGACACCTCACCGAGAATATCTTCAATATCGCATACACCGTAGTCCACGATATCCCAGGGTTTTGCTGAGAAAGAAGAAATAGAATTAACCGATCACCTTTGAAAAATAAACGCGAATAAGTCAACGTTACGCCAGTTGCATGTTGTACCTATCACTCGAGCGTAAACGCCCGGGAACTCGGAAAGCGTCACTTGTTTGCTCGCTTTCGACTTCAGCACGCGTAGTAGATCCGAGGTGAATCTACGTACTTGAGCACGATGCGATAGCGTAACCACGCGCTTATTGCCCTCTCCCATCACCTGAAAGCACACGCGACAATTCGCAGCTCATTCTGACCGGACATCAACATTCGCGGGACGCGTCGCTCAATTTACGTACTTGAACAGTGGGCGTAAGCGCCTCCAGCAGATCTATCAGTTTAGTGAACCCGTAATCGGCGACTCTGCACTGTCGCCCGAAGTGATGGTGGTACGCTGGTATAAATCGATTGAAGGGTAACTGGCAGTGCGGAGCGGTTTTCAGAAGATCGACCAGTTCGCGGCTGAAAAGGGCTAGCTGATTCGCGAGCGGCGGACTCACGCACTTAGTTTCTGAAAGGAGCACGGCATTACAACTCGTGTAAAAAATTTTTTTTCATTAACTTTGTACTATCGATCAATCCATATGGAATTACCATCGTGATTATTCTCATGATCTTTCCTCCCTATCCACATAATAAACTTTACGCTGCCGGTATCTTGTTTTAATTCGACACACGATAGACACGAGACCAGGTGTTCCAAAGGTACACCACTTTCTATGATTTCCAACTGTTCTTTGAATTCAGCCTCATAACAGTTCGGCAGACTGAAATTATTCAACAGATTGTTACGCGAAATCATAAATTAATACCATAATTCTTTCGTACTGCGTGTACAAAAGATGAATAGTAATAATAAGAAAAACGTACCTGGGCAACGGTAGGATGCCGTTGTGCGACGCTAACAATTGTTGCATACGAGACTCGAGAAGCTTCAAGGCGATCTTTACGTTGGGCAAGGATGCCATTTCTTGTTCCGCCCAGCCTTTGTCGGACAACGGTTTCGAGGTGTGCATAGTGCAATATGGCAACTTGACTTGCCCATCCTGCAAGCATTATTCAACATCTTTTATATCTATAAGGCGAGATATAATCACGGAAGAGAGTAGCTACGTTAACTCAGGATAATTCGCTTTACAGTGTGATCAAAGCTTCTCAACAGTAAGAGGAACTATAGTGTAGCTCGACTGTCACCGGAAAAGCTCAGACTCGGCTGCATTTTCATCATTTTGCGAAGGTTACGAACAACAACAAACGTGTATACACGGAGTACATCGCGCACCTGTATGGTGTTACTAAAGCACGGCGATGGCGTGTTTCTATGATCCGGATTGAGCGAGACCATTCTACCGCTCGGATCTTCGGCGATTATGCACACGTCTCTCATCTTGTAGAGTTCCGACACGCTTATAGAGATCATAAACCGGCTCTCGTACATCTCGCGGAATTTGAACAGCGGCAGTTTATGTCCCGGGACCTCTTGCAAGAGCATTACGATCTGCGCTCGGATAAGTTGCAGATTTGGTCCACCGATGTGGGCGTAAGATATCAAAATGCGCTTGTAGCCGATTTTACGACGGTGTAACTGCGAAATTGCATACTGTGCGTCTGACAGCGAGGGTACTTTGACACTAGCGGCGTAATTACCGTCCGATTGCATAAATACAGAAATATGACAGCTCTAAAATGAAAAAGAAACGTATCTCTACAATAAGTTACTGTACATAAATTGGAAGCCTTCTCAATAAGTGCATGGCCACGTACCGAGATGTGCTCCATGAACACAGATGTAAGAATTCGCTTCATGTCTTTCATATCGATGTTTTGATCTAAATTTGTTACTTGCAATTCGATGGGTATATTAGCGCCACTATTGATGCTAGATCCGACGCGATTGTTTATAGGATTAAAGAATTTCTAGAGAAGAAAAGAATAAGAAACGATAAATTAAGTGGAGAGTATAGATTCACTAGTCAATTAACACGTAACGATATATAAATGTACCTCTACTTCTTCGTTCTCTGCATCACTCAAATGCGACCGCGAGGTTTGATTGTGTTGTCCTGTTCCTTGCAACATATTATTTTCGTAAGGCGATGGTGTTTTATTATTTCGTGTCGAAATCTGCTGTTGATTCTGAAAAAGAAAAACATTAATTTTTTTTTCGTTTCACCGAACACAAAGTTAGACGAAGGATAAAAATACAATTACGTTTACTTGTACCTGCTGGCCATGCCACGAGCTCTTCTCTCTAGTCGGTGCATCGTACAACGGGGACGGGCTGCGCCGTTTGAAAGAATTGGGTTGCACTGTTTTAACAATTTGTAACATTAACCGTCACGCGCATAATCAACATGGCATAATAAAAAAAACTGATTTTAGTTACCATTATAATTAAGTGGAACAGCTAATGAATTGTAGGACTGCCGTCCTCCAAACCATTCGGAAGCATGAAGAAATGTACCGTGTGTACCCCTGATGCGCCGGAGGCCTTCAGGTGTACGAGCAGTTGTGGTAACGGCAACATTATTGTCCCGAACCTGCGGGATGTGAGCTCGTTTACCTAATATCTTCGACTTTTCCGTCTTAAACAAAATGAAATGATCGTTTGATATGTTACACAAATAAACGTTACAATAAACAAGAGGCGAGCTAATCGTAGCACATTACAAACAAGGATGGGAATAAGGAAACACAGATTATATTTAGAAATTTAAATATTCTTCCAAATAAAACCAACTTTGTATTGTTCTTCCCACATGTGGCCATATTGTTGAGGTCCCGGAATTGACCAAATTAAATTGGGCGATTGCACCCTGGTAAGGTCATTGTATGTTCTATTGAAAGCTACGTCGCCGCTATTCGAGTACGACCTCCCCAAAAGAAACGGAGCTTGTATCATCCTGAAACGTAAAATGAACACATTAGAGTTCAATTTTCTTTATGATTTTGCAAATGTATATTTCAATATTGTATCTCAGATAAGATCAAACTGGGCTCACAGCCCGAATCAGCAAGGATAAAAATCGACTCGCGACTCAAGAGCTCTTTCTCGGATTATCCATCATCGAAAAGAGAGGACGTGTATCGCGTGAAATTCGCCGGATAGAAATTTAATAAATTTTACAAACTGACCCCGTCGGCGGGCCATTGATGGGTGCGCAATGGGGATTGAAAGCGGGATAGCCGCCCACTACGGATGACGAGGACTGATAATGCGGAAATTGGAGGGTCCTTGTCCCTAGTACAGAGGCACTCGCAGCATACATTTGCTTGGAGCTACTTTGCTTAGAGTCAGCAACAATTTCTGATTCACTAACTGCTCTACTTCGAGCAGCACTTATGGCACTTCCTGGAAAAGAATTATTAATCACACAATAAGCATGGCAATTCACGTCGGTCTTGCGTCAATTTTGCTAATTTTCGCTACAATTTCAGCAACAAACGTACCTAGATTTTTAGCGATTACACTTCCTTTCTCCTTGCCGAGGTATCTTACAAATATTTTCGACCCGAAAACATATTCTCCTTCCATACGTTTCTGAGCCCTACCGAAAATAAAGAGTGAAGAAAAAACAAAATTACATTGTCATTGTATAGCTCGCTTAACAACCAATTTTACTTGTAAGTGACCTTGCAAGTCATAGGGATGTACAAGCACTTGGACGCACAGATCGAATGCAACAGCAATTAGTCGTTTTTACTTGTAAAGTTTTGTTCTAAATGAGAACGCACGTACAGAGTACTGTGCGAAATAAACGGCTCCCCGATATTAAACGACGCAAAACTTCTCCGACGAAACAGCGGTGATCGCGGTAAATAGCGCGACAGACACTGTGTAACTTACCATGAACAGCGAAACCATCACTCGATATTAAACATTTAAATAAGAAAACAATAAATATTAATAAGATAAATATTACTTTTCGCACAAAAATGATTTTACTGTAATAAATCCTAATACGTGCTAATGAACAGCAAGCGAGCTTATTACACGACGTTCTTTGATACCACTATGCTCGTTACATTGCTGTCTGTTATTTCGAATCGTCCCTATTTATGTTTTCATCCCTGCTACGCCTGTATGTGATACAGGAGACATACAAGCTTGTTTTTCCTCCCTTTTTTTGTATATACACGTACCGATCCAATGGTAGAACGGAGAATGCGAAAGGCTGATTCGCACGAGGCACGGGCGGGTCATTCAAATCAGAGTAACAATATACGGAACAAACGAGCAAGCTAAAGAAACGTGAGCTTCATTAATTTACTAGCTTTTCGTTTATTGCCGCAAGACTCGGAGTCACTCTGTGATTTTCCCTAATTAAAATCTTTCTAATTAACTAAACTCTTTCCCATTGACAAATATAAGATAGAAATAAGAGACACGTGCTATCATAGAATTAATTTAAGACGAAAGAAGCTCAATTGTTCCACATATTCGATGCAACTTCTGTTACAATATACCCGTGCGATATATTGTAATAATATACGGAATAAACGAGCAAGCTGAAGAAACGTGAGTTTCATTAATTTATTAACTTTTCGCTTATTGTCGCAAGACTCGGAGTCATTCTGTGATTTTCCCCAATTAAAATCTTTCTAATTAATAACATTTAATGGTATTAATTGAACTCTTTCCCCATTGACAAATATAAAATGGAAATAAGAGACGCGCGCTTTCATAGAATTAATTAAAGACGAAAGAAGCTCAATTGTTCCACATATTCGATGCAATCTGTTTCAATATACCTGTGCGGTAAGTAAAATTAATAAGATATATACCTTTCTGCAGAACTGTTCGACGTAAAGCGTACAATGGCAGCATTTGACTGGACATCCATCACTCGACCGCCGCAATTTTCGGACAATTGCTTAAGACGACGCTTAATGACATTAACATCCACATCATCGGGAAGGTTACTAATTAGAAGATCAATGGATTCATTATTCTGAAAGTGTTAAATTATATTCGTAGGTAAATCGTGGGCGCACACGTGCAAGGGACAAATTGTGTGTCTAACGTGTATCGTGAAAGTGTTCGTTTGAGTTCGGAAAAAATTGCCGGTAATTTCGTGAAATCGCTACGTTGATAAACGTCATAAAAGTCCTGAAACTTAAGCGGCTCTCGAAAGTGCCGTAAAACTGGCAGATATTTAACACGCCTCTGTACAACGTACAATCGTCGGACAAATCACCGAAGTAAAAGTCTCTCTCTATTATACATACATTAATGGAAATTGAATAGTACGTGAATTGGGAAGTGCTAAGTACGCTACACACAGATAAACACAAGACAAAGTATACTCGGAAAAATGAAGAATAAGAAAAAGTGTACGCTAAATTTTGTTTATTAAATAAATACATGTGAGAAGAGAGTGTGGCGTAATTTTTATATATATATTAGCAGTTTCGAAACGGAAATTCCCTCGTCAATATTATAGTCGTCACATACCGGTCGCTTCATACCTTTGGTGGAGGTCTGGACGGCAATGATTCCGTGAGCTCCATAAAATCATAATGTTCATTGGCGCATAATATTAACGCTTCTGAGGTATTCTTTTTGTGTAGCAGTATCACATAAATCTTCTTTCTATGACGTAGATCACTGAGATCAGCGGCAAAATTAATGTCGCCGGATATTAAGATTATGGCTGCCGGGCTGCCGTGGATGTCAGCGAACCTTCTAATGGTCTGCTTAAGCTTCTCGTCCGCGGCGTTCTTACACGTAGCCGCCACGTGTATTAAATTAACCTGACGGATGCAGAATAAGTGATTTGGTAAGGAGCGCTGTTGTGGAGCAAGCGAGGTCGGGACCGCGCGGCAAATGAAAAATGTCAGCCTCGCGCCGAGCGCCTGTTTTTACCTGAGCGTCATTCAGTTCCTGTATGATTTGGCTATTCTCCTTCTGAACGTCGCACACCACGATAAACTCCGCCTCTCTATAGCCACTAAAAAATTTGTCTCTAATTAGCTGCGTGACCGCTATGGCGGATCTACCTTTAGGAACCTGCGAGCCAAGCGTAGGACAGCGACATATTATTTGCGATGAAGATTAGGGCGGGAGAATCTCGTGGCGCGAAGAAAAAGAAAACAGATTACGTCGAACCAACCTGACAATTCTCAATGTCCCAAAATACGCCAATGGGTGGAAGAGAATTCGACATGCTCGGCACCTTAGATGGACTGTCGTGACAGAGAACGGAGCAGTCATGTCTGCAATGACCGAACGACAGAGAAGTGGATGCCTTGGGGTCGCCGTCGTTTTCCAGTATACTGTCGCACAGCGAACTGTTGGCTGCCGGTAGCAGGTGCTTTTGTTCGGACAACAGTTGTATGAGCTTCTCGTTAAGGCCCTCGATCTCGTCGTTATCTTCCGCACACGACGCACGGTAATGGGGTGGTGTTTCGTCAGCCATGTGTCTCGCAAGTTATCTGATAGGATTACAATGTAGGCTGAAATTAAATAAAGCCAAGCGTGAGAACAAAAGATACGGCAAAAATTGTATACTCGAGTTGAACGTACGTGTACATCGTAACGTCACGTAACTCGCTTATACGAATAACTACGCAGAAGATATATTCACAACATTTAAAACTGCAAAAAGCAGAGGCAAATAGGGCCTCGCTGGCAGCGTGGACAGCATCAGCGCGCCTCGCCGAGCTCTCGTCCGCGTTCAAATCCCCCACGTGTGTACGCGCATCGCGTCCGGCCCCGGAAGAGAGGCAGCAAGGAAGCCCGCCTTTGGCGCGTTACCTGAGCAATTCAGCCATCGTTCCACCGCTTCCTGTGCAGCTTCGGGCAAAAACGCGGCAACCGAAACGGCGAGATACTAAGCGGGTAAAACATTACGGGGGGCGATCACGGATGAGCACATAGTTAGGAAAATTGCCGGCCCGACCCTGTTAGCCGAAATCGAGCAAAACGTGCGTTTTTCTATGTGACTCTCTTCTGTTTTATACCTCCTTCCAATTCTCTCTCTCTCTCTCTCTGTTTGTCTGTCTCCCTCTCCTCCCCTGCGCAGAAAACATGCTTGAAGTTACGTTCGCATCGATCGACGAAAGACTTTTCAGGCGTATTTGCACCGCGCGATAACCGCTACTGTACGCCTTCTTCTTCTCTGGTTATTGGCTCCCGGCTCACAGACACTGAGCCGGGCCACGTCGAACCAATAGATTTAATGGTATTGCTTGGAATTGAACGATGTAATGGCCCGGTAACCGGGCCACGCGCGGGATGATGCAATCCCGCAGGATCAAAAATTTATCTTCCGTCGGAAGACGTGTGAACCGCTCGACGGCCCAGACGGAACTTTGCTACTACATATACGCCCATGGTGTAAAGATACGAGGTGAGGCGATCTGGTGGATGCGCAGTGTCAGCCAATCAGAGGTGGCCCGAACTACCAAATTGACCAATCAGTAATTTGCCCCAACCTTCACTGCAAATCATTGCGGTTGAATGCGTAGAAGAACCAATGAACAATTTAGCGGGGAGCACACACTTTTGCATAAGTGCATAAGCATGTGCATAACGAATTTGATTGGTCTATAAGCAAACGCATAAGGAAATGGACCAATCAAATTCGTTATGCACATGCTTATGCACTTATGCAAAAGTGTGTGCTCCCCGCTTTATACAGAGGCCCAACCAGGCCCAACCATAGACATAGTATACTATGTCTATGGGCCCAACTACCGGGCCTCGCACGGGATGATGCAATCGGATGATGCAACTCCGAGTATCAAAAAATTCCTCTTCGGTTAGAAGACGCGCGAATCGCTCAACGTCCCAAACGGAACGAGCCGAGCATTGAGCAGTGGGGGTATAGGTTCACGTAGAAAACTCTGTTTTGTGCTATTTCGTTTTCTCTCGTTCGCATGCAAACAAGAGAGGCCGAAATAGCACAAAACAGAGTTTGTCCTTTTCTACGTGAACCTCTACCCCCCCCCCCCTGTTCAAATAAAGGCAAACACTCGGTCTAGATACTATGTCACATTGTAAGGTTAGGCTGCATATACTGATGAGCAAAAATAAGGTATATGTATCTAATGAAGTCTCCTGCGCATATTAAACAACGCTAGAAAATATTTCTACTTACTGCGATTACAAAAAGTAATACGCGAATTCATCAACGTTGCATTTAATTTTCAGTTCCACAATGCGTGAACACGTTTTCAGGACCGCGTCGTTTATGGACTACAATTTCGATTGTAAGAACAATTTTGCGTTTTTCTTATTTAGGATTCTAGACCTAATTCTCCTCTAAACTTTTTAAGAATTGGAAAAAGAATTCAGTGAATTGAACCGCGATTAGAATTAAGAGTCTACGGCAGACGCGGCAGTGACTTCTCGATGAAGAGATCATTTTTCTCGAATTACGACCGAAGTAGACTGTTTTTTTTCTTCAAAAAGTCGCTCCTCAGCGCGAAGAAGATGGCGCCGCTGATTTAAAGCGCGATTTTCTCTTCGTTTTGGCCGTAAGATGGAAAATACGAATCTTTATCTCCACGTGTCCTACGATTCGTAATTTTTCTATCACGGCTAAAATAAAGAAGAAATCGCCCTTTAACCGTGATATTTGTAATCAGCATCTTCTTGTCGAAAGAGCCATTTTTGAAGGAAAAATCGTCTATTTTGGCCGTAATTCGATAAAAACGAGTTCATTCCGCGAGAGAGGAAAGATCTGGAAAGATCTTGCCACGAGGTCTGCTCGTCTGCTCCACCGGCAAAGGGGAGGCCCCGGAACCGGAACCGGCAATGTGACGGAGAGAAAAGTCCCGTGCGGTGATCGTTGGCGGCCGCGCGCAACGGCTGTTGGCAATCGTGGCTGTCGCGCCTTATCGGTCCGTTAGCGTAGTCGGTTATCACTGATGGCATTTTTACCTCGGCTGTTGTCGTCGGTCTCGTTAAAAGAGTCAATTTGCGACGAGCAATTTCTATCGTTTATATGAAGATACGACGCAGCTGCGACCATGACGACCGCGTTGTACTTGGAGCACTATCTCGACAGTAAGCAGCGGCGTAGTACGAGCCAGTTTGCTCTCCTTCAAATCCCACCCCCCCGTTCCACTCCTTTTCTTCCACTCGCGCGAAAAAGGGCGCAGGAATGATAAAAGAAAAAGTGGAAGCCCCGACGAGACGCGCGAACGTCGTTCTCGTATTTTTCACTCGTTTCGTCCTAACCGCCTGCCCCTCTCGATTTTTCCGCGCCTCGCGGACTCACTTCGCCGCGGACGTTGCGGGAGTACGTTTATTTTTCAATGGGAGTCTCGAATTGTAAAAATATATTCCTCTCAAGGAGCTGTAGATCAAGGGCGAGCTTCGTTAAATGCCCAACTTATTTTTTGAATTAATGGGAAGGTAAGAGAAAAACGGAGAGAGAGAGAAGAATCTTCATTCATTTTCCAAATCTTTCGTGAGGAATACACCATAGAACTTAGAGTTTACAGAGCTCTAATTTATATGCAATTAAATTCTGTTCAATATTCTCTTCTTCGATTAAACTTTGCATTCGAGATCAGATTTTCTGCCTTTCCTTCGCGGGAAGAAACACTCGGGTTTCGAGTGTTGACACTCGATTGTCCGAATTTACTCGCAAGATTTGGGTGTAAATATTTGAATCTGGGTGTCTACGCGCAAATTTGAGAGTAAATTCGGACAATCGAGTGTGAAGCTTGTTCTCATCCTTTGTCTAAGGCTGAGGTCCACTTCAAAGTGTTGTTCTTCTTCCTTCTCTGTTAAACGGTAAGAGAAGAATGCTTTGAAGTATTCGTAACGTCAAGTGGACCGCAGCCTAAATTGTACACGAGTCTCAACATGGTATTAAAAATTGACACACGCATGTTACAGGCCTTGAGCACTTGCCGATCGAATTGCAGAGAAATTTCACATTGATGCGCGATTTGGACGCGAGGGCGCAGGGCTTGATGAAGGACATTGACAAACTGGCGGACGATTACTTGAGAAACGTGAAGAAGGAATCGTCGGAGAAGAGGAAGGAGCAGCTCGCCCATATACAGGGCCTCTTTAACAAGGCGAAGGAATACGGCGACGACAAGGTCCAGCTAGCTATTCAAACCTACGAATTGGTCGACAAACACATCCGACGACTGGATTCGGATCTGTCGCGATTCGAGGCGGAGATACACGACAAATCGGGGGGCAGCAACAAAGCGCAGGAGGACAGCAATGCCAGCAAGAAGGGCAGGAAGAAGCTCAAGGAGAAAGAGAAGAGGAAGAAGGGCACTGCGGTGAGCAGCGAGGACGAGGCCAAGAATGCGAGAAAGAAGCAGAAGAAGGGTACGTTCGAGTCAAGTTATTGCAATCGCAACTCGCGCTCGTCGGCCCTTCAATATCAAATCTATTGTTTCATCATGAATGCACATATTCATATCAGGTGGCTGTGTAGCTTCAGCGTCATCGACTGGCGCCGTGGGAAGCAGCGCCCAGGTAGACGCGACAGCCCTCGGCCATCCCGCCGACGTTCTGGACATGCCTGTCGACCCCAACGAGCCGACTTATTGTCTTTGTCATCAAGTATCGTACGGAGAAATGATCGGTTGTGATAATCCAGATGTAAGTCATATTTAATAGACTTTTCTTTTTTTAAGAAATACCCTCTATAGGAATTAAATTTCAAACGAAGCTCTGTCGCCTGCTTACATTTTGCAAGACGCATTCTTCAATTTTCGTTATAATTGGAAAATTATCACGGAATCGAAATAATCCCTTAACTTTCCTTTTGCATTTCAGTGCCCTATAGAATGGTTCCACTTCGCCTGCGTAGGTTTAACGACGAAACCTAAAGGAAAGTGGTATTGTCCCAAGTGTACGCAAGATCGCAAAAAGAAGTGAAACCTAGGAACGTGAATATCCGCTGATCGTCGTTCGTTTGTAGAAGAGTACAGAAGTTTTTCATATTGAAAGTAAACCGATTTTTTCTTTTATAAAAAGACTATAGAGAATTTACAAAAGAGTTGTACAAAAAACGGAACTGCATTTCCATTGCATCTAATGCTGGTAACGAGACAGTTTTTTTTTTATTTTTACGTAAGGCATACAAGTGTGATGTGCAAACGCGAATTGTTAAACTACAATTTCTTCAGAACGTTATAACCTGTAGAAATTAGATTTTCACGAGACACGGCAGTGTCTCGCGCCAAGTATAAGCGTCTTGTATACAGAATTGTATCGTGGACTTTTTCAATTCTACAAAGGGCCTCGATAGTGAAATGATTACTCGTGTCCCGCATCTCATTTTAAATGTATCAAATGGTTAATATATGAATTATATTACTATCGACAGATACATAATAATTTTACATGAATGATTTTGTTTTTTTTATAAATAAATTCTTATCAATTTTAGATGTAATGGAAGCACAGTTCGAACGGAAATCCATCACAGACGGAAAAGAAACGTTTTAAGAATCGGCCATCGTCTCGCTATCGCTTCACAGTCTCTTTATATAATATCGAACTAGTAATTTATTGTAATGTTAACTGCGTCGCATAAGAATCACTTTACATTTTTTTGCCATCCTTTTTCACGGCCGTTTCTTGAATATATCTGTGATTTCGCTAATAATCTATAGTTTTAATTAGAGCATTAAAATATTAACGTTATTGTATAATTAGAGCATTAAAATATTAACGTTATTACTGTTTTTGTATGTTATGAATGTACATCGCTTTATATGTGAGCGTACATCGCGCGAGGTAAACTCCTGTTGGAGATGCGAAAAGTGTATTATACAGGATGAACCGTAAACCGCGTGGCTGTCCCAACCTTTACTGTAAGAGCTGGATTACTGGCTGTAAAATTCTGGTTAACTGAACGCTATAGGAGAAATAATTTGTTGACAAAGTATATTTTATGCAATGCTAAATAAATATTGTCAGTTGTTATATGGGCAGCACAAAATGTACTGTGCTAACAACTTAGTTTTCTCCCATAGCGTTTAATTAACCAGAATTGCAGTCAGTGATCCGGCTATTATGGTAAACGATTGGGACAGCCTTTACGGCTCACCCTGTACAAACGAAGTGCAGCAATATGATTAAAAAAAATATATTTAGTTCATCGAAACTTATCTTGTCTACGTCATCCTGTTTGTCTCTATTTACAAAATATATTTACAAGCGTTTCTAATTAGCTACTTAATAGCGCTGTCAAATCATATCGCGAGTAACGAACGAAATCCAGATGTTTTTGTCAAATCTCCAGACTGTAATTCTTCCGAAGAACGTCGCGAACTCGTTATAATCTTTCGCGGCTTCCTTCAATAATACTGCTTAAATCGCCCCTGGAAGTTGCGTCTACGTTTTTACGGCTTTTGATATCGGTGTCTCCTAAGGAGGGTTTAGGTCGGAATATAAATAGAACGCTTACATTACAAATGTACGCGTTAAGCGTGAGAATGTTTTTTGAGCAAGTATCAAAAAACCGGACTAGAACGTGGCGGAAATCTCGCCGTCGCATTAAGGGATCCCGGATTGCCTGTTGCAGCACTGACTAGGCGGTGCGGTCCAATTGTACTGATAGCTCATGCGATTCCTCACTTCCTTGGGACAGAGCGCGCCGGAGGCCTGATAGTACTCGTGCATGCTTCTTATGTTCTGGATCGTTTGCTTGTGCGTGATTATGTACTGATTGGAACAGCCGCGCGACCTGTACTCCGTGTCGAAGCGCACGTCGTGCTTCCTCTCGATGTTGGCCAGCGGCGCCAGCCAAAGCCCCACGGAAATGTCTTCGGAATTGTGCATCCTGGGACATTGGTGTGCATAAGTTTATAAAGAATTAACTGAGCCTGAGATTCTTAGATTGTGTAATCGTTGCGAGAAAGATTTGTAATTTGGGTACTGAAAATCTATCTCGTAATAGAAGAGTTTCTTCTATCGATATACATTAGATACAAACTCGCGATCCGCAGCCGTACTCACTTGAGGATCTCCGAGTTGCCGGCGATGAACTTGACGAGATTGTAGGACAGGACGTATCCGCCGCCCAGGGCGTAAGGGAGATAATAGTCGCACAGGATCCAGTCGGTCTCCTTCCAGGGGCCGCTCCTCTTCACCTGCGCCCGCCCGTTGAAGAAGCCCCAGTAGAGCTCGCGCCTGGTGCCCTTGCTCTGCCACCTGTCGAGCTCCTTCAGGATCTTGTGCACCAGCACGTAGGAGTCGTCGTCGCACTTGAGCAGGTAGTCAAAGTCGTGACGCTCGTGGGCGGCTTTCAGAGCGTGGAGGACCTTCTTGGTCAGCGTGCCGTACGAGTCCTGCAGCCTGGGCAGCAGCAGCAGATCGTCGAACTTGTCCTTCTCCGACTGCAGGGTGTTCCTCTGCTCCGGCAGGATGTCCTGGGTGCCGACGACAAACAGGTATCTCACCGTGGCGCCTTGTACGTGATCGGCCAGCCAGGTCTTCCTGATGGTGTCGCGGCGCTCCAGGTTGTCCGGGCCGCTCAGGACCAGGACGACCAGCCTGTACTTGGGCCTGCCTTCCCGCGGGACCTGCCGGTCCGGCTGGCATCCCCGCGCCGGCAGGTAGCGCACGCAGAGGAGGACGAGGGCCGCCACGAGCAGGCACGCGAGGACGTTCGCCCGGGCGAAGTACTTCCGCCGGCTGATCGACTGCAGCTTGGACATGAGATGGTCGAGCTGCCGGCGCGTCATACGGCTCGATTTGGGGAGCACCGTGGGAGGAAAGCGCGATCAGCGCCGTAACTCGAGCGCCTTCGGGCTCCGAGCGTGAATTACGCGCGCATGGATGTAATTCGGGAGATGTCACAGGAATGTCGAGAGACAAAATCGAGTCCGTCGGCTTCAGTTGGACTCACCTGCCGCACTCGGTCGCCGATCGCGTCCAGCCACCTTCGACGAGACTCGCCGAGAGACGCGAGGTAAGCGGGATCAGCGAAATTACGTCGGCTGTCTCGCCAACGACGCCGCGGTAACTGCGGACTCTTCAATTCTCGAGTCTCGACCCGCGAACAACGTCCGCACGGCAAACGTCAACGATCAGCTGTACTCTGCGATCAGCTGATCGGCGAGGCTCCTAGGCGGCAAGTTAGGTCGGGATTAGGTTAGGGTAGTGACACACGACACGTGCGACGGCAAGCGCGCAAGCTGGACAAGCGATTATATTTGGAGAATACAGCAAATTTCTGAAATATAAAATATATCAATATATTTCTAGATATATCGATATAGTCCATTAAATATATATATGTATATATTAATATCTCTCCTTTCCTTCGTTTCTCTTCGAGCGACTTCCAAGCTTTGTTTCTTCCCTTTTCCGCGCGACGGATTGATTTTGTGCACTCGTAAGACCTGGGCGGTAGCAAGAGCGCGGAGGAGTCACGAATCGTTTTTCGCAACATCGATCTCGAGATCGGAGACAATGGGGTCAATTCTGTATCTTACACCATAGGGAAAATGCTAAAAGTTGAATAGCTTCGTCTCTTGCTAACCGTTCCATTAAAAAGAGGCCAAGCCGCTCACTTCCCCGATAGCACACATGGTTCTATGAATATTTTTCTGGAGCGCAAATATTCTTAACTTCAGAATATTCCAATCGAATATTCTATAAATATATATATATAGATTATTACAATTAGATATCGTATATTCATAACAAAGAAGAACGTTTTTGGAATATAAGAGAAACCACTAATGTGGGTCATTGTTTATTGTGTAATACATTTATCTTGTGCGAAAGGCAGCGAAACCTGTGATCACACCATATATAACCGACACGCTATATTCGATAGATTATTCTATTCACATTCGAAAAAGATTTATAGTAGTGCCAGTCGAATGTTCCACGAACATAACATAAATATATAAGAACGACCTATGGAATACTTCAAATATTCTCGAAGAATATTCTTAAAATGTTCACAGGAGTGTCTTGTGCTATCTGGGTTTTAACATTTTCACTATATTGTCACGATACAGAATTGACCCCGAGAGCTCTCCGCGAAGTTCATGCCCCGTGGAATTCTGTCTGAAGATTCAGCGTTCGAAGAATTCGTTTGTGAAGAACAATTTATTGCTGGTAATCCAGTAACGGAAGTGTTCGCTCGGACATAAGACAAACTCCACTGCCGTGGTTCACGGAGGAATCCCGTTTGTTTTTTTATTGACGTTAAGTACCATTATCCATTCTCGACTGTCGCAGTCCACAGCTTTCTCTCTCTCTCTCACACACAGTCGTTATACTCGCGATGAAATAAAATACAGTGGTTCTTCATTGGCAAAACGACGTTTGATATTGATACAAATAAATTATTGTTTTCCCCCCCTCTTGATACACATCTTTTTTTTATAATCGCTACATACAACACACTCGATTTGGCACGGTTTTTAGTCGTGTTGCGAAGAGTAATCCCGTTTTCCTGGCGCAAAATCCTGAATTGAAGTTGGATTCCATCGTGGACAGACAGATTTCGATATGACCAAATGCATTCTCCGGATAAGGCACGTAGTGAGGTGCGCAAGCTATGTCGAATTGATCGAAACTCACTGCCGGCGAAACGTGGTGCGCGAGAAGGACTACAAGTGCTATCGGGATCTAGTGCCATCGAATACAAACTATCCGTAAAAGTCTACTTAAGCTAGCGTACGATTATCAACGGCTTAAAAGTAATTTATGTTTACTCCTCGCGTGTTAAGCATAAAATGTGTGTCGCCTAATTAAACCACACAGCTGGCTCTTAGTACGGAGTATATGCATACAATCATCACATGTATATCAACAGATTTGTATTTCGATCATTGCTTCACTCGGCAAATCTTGTGTCGCGAATTTAGCATTGCGTGTTCGTGTAATTGCGTATGCGTGTAATTGCTGCAATATGGCAAAGGAAATGTGGAATCGCGTGCGAATTTTACATTTCCTTAAAAATCCTACTCCTTAGGGATAAGTGGCGAAAATAGTACATATTGTATATTGTACTTGAATATCGAAGATTGCGAAATATGTCCTTTACCATATTATAATGCGACTCGCTGCAGTTTGTATAAAAATCGATAAAATACAGAATCACGCCGATTACAGCTCTTGCGGCTCTGATCAATTTTTGATAAATCCTTCGTATTCTCTTTTATGCCTCGATTTCATTTCTGCGACATGTATGTATAGCATACATCACAATTAGAAATTCCTCTCTGTAAGAAAATATAAGGAAATTAAAATCTCTCATCAAAATTTATTAAAAAATTCAATTTTAATAATATTCAAAGTTTCATAAAATTATATAATCATTTTTATTTGTTTAAAAAACGCTTTATATACTATACCGATTTCTTAACACAACGAAGAACATTGCAAAAAAATTGTTTAAAACAATTTCTAAGATACAAGAATGCAAATTGTGAACACTCGATTCGAAATTATATCTCAATTTTCCACTGTTATTTTGCTATGTTTACATTCTCACGTGATTCTGATTTTATCCATTTCATGATGTACTTTACAAAAAGATGATTTAATTTAAAAATTCTCGAGACGTACGAGGTAAAAATTTTTCGATCCACTCCCTCTCTCGCTCGTCTAAAAACTGTGAAAATATTAATTTGCTCTATCGTAAGTCTATTTAATTAAGTACAAAAGAGTTTTATTTCAACATTGTCTATCTTTTTTCCCTAGCGTGAAGCATATTATATATAAATATATAATGTATAGTATATATGTATATATATATGCAATTAATCTGTATATGATACATAAACATGATGACTCTGTGTGTAGCATACTCAATTGGTTTCTTTATATAACTAAGACCTTGCTATTCAAGAGAAACTGCTCATATGTATTTTGAACAAATAAGTTAAACTATCAAGCATTTTCTCTGTCGCTCTCTCTCTCTATCTCTCTCTCTCTCTCGATTCTCTTAGTTCGCTCTTATTTATACGAAATATCGTATATTTCGCGATATATTTTTATCCCTTTTCATATATATTAACCACAAAGAAAAAGAAAGAAAATAACGGTCAAATACTAATATTTACATAACTGACGTAATACGAACGATATAATTCGGTTATGTAAAACTACAGCCATTATTAATTATAGTAAGTGTATGTCTTTAAGCCAGTACATGAATGATGATGTTTTTACGCATCCGCCCTGTTCGATTGTCCCTATGAACATTGACGATGTTATCAGACACACACTTGAGCAATTTGTTACTACCGATGTGTTGTAACAAATGTTTTTTTTTCGAACACCTATGCCCTGCAATCGACTATTAGAATCTGGAAGAAACGAAAGTATCAAAAGCTAAGATCAAAATTTGCTGGCAAACATTCAGCGATCACTGATTTATATGTGTTGTGTGTACTGAATCTATTTTGTTTTTACCATCTAGTTTATTTTGAGAAATAACACCTATAGCCGATTCGTTAGCTTTTGGTACTATCTGGATCTTGGCGAATGTATCAATTAAGAGCATTATCTCGAGAGTTGAGAACGCAATCGAGGTTGTTTAATCAGTGATGGAGATCTGAGCAAATCCTATTAACGCCTTGTCATCTGATACTTCATTCACTGCACAACCAGAATTCTGTAACAGTAAAAGGAGCCAATTATTATAGATTTAATGTAAATGTAATCAAAGTAAATTATAAGAACACATACATATATTGTTTATGTATATTTTGTGCTAAATATTAAAATATATTTATGTTTTATAATCAAATGTAACATAAAAATTAATATTTACCAAGGAAAACGTCACTGTTCGCAATTGTCCTCCACTCTCTATCAACTTTTTCAGATTTGTTTCTATTACCACAACGTCCTTGCCATCGACCAAGCCTGCAGCGACCAGTTCTGCCGCGATTCCTTGCGCGGAATCCACTCCAACCGTAAATTCGAACCTAATGTCATTAAGCTCCCGTCTTTCGTTCCTGAAAAAAAAATGATAAGATTATCTCTTATTTTCTTTGAAAGATAAATCGGGTAATTAGGTAATAATCTATAAAAATCGAAAGAATTCTCATTCAGATTCGATAATGAATGATTTCACGTACCGTAATCTAAGCACCAAGTTTATAGGAACATTTTGTCCGGTAGCTGGTATCGCGATTTGACTCGGTGCTACCTTGATTTGACCGTAGTACTCATCGGGCTCGCCGGCTTCTTCATCGCTGCTTGCCTTTTCGATCGTGTTGACCGGTAACGTTTCTTTGCCTTCGTCGCTGCTCGAGTCACCGTTGTTCTCTTCTTCTGACCAGACCCATTCGCCGGTCACCGTTCGGTGCAAACGGCCCGACGTGCCAGGTTGCCTTTTTGACGCCTGTAAAAGCAAGAAGTTTCTCTCAATGTTCCTTAAAATATCAATTTTCTCAACTCTCGTAGAATCTCAATAAAAAATAATTACAGACATGCATCACATTGCATACAGTATAAATACCTTTTGTACACGTGTTTCTAAACTGGGTCCAATCGCCACTAACGTCTGCTGCAGATATTTCTTATCTTTGGCTTTCTTGAAAAAGGGATGTTTCAGCAACTCGGTGGCTGTTGGTCTGAAATAATTATTTATAATATATTTATTTCATAATCTTATATATGTACATATTCTGAATTTTTCTACTGAAAAATCCATACGATAAATCATACGGTGATACCGGAGACCTTCAAGCTAGTTGAACTACGTCTAGCATGTTATCTATTTACGCCAACTATTCTAACTGCTTCGGCAAACGTTTAGTGGAAGTAACAATGTAAGCAAAATAGCGCGACCCGGCCTACCTCTTGGTGGGGTCTTTTTGTAAACAGTCGACGATCATTTTTCGGAATGTCTTCCCGTACGCTTTATATTGGTCCTTGTCGTCCGCGGCGGTATCGAGAGTCGGTGGATCGTTCTGCAGCGTCAGCATCAAGACCTTCATCGGGGGATATTTGTGGTACGGCGCCGTGCCGCTGGCCATCTCGATCGCCGTGATGCCAAGTGACCATATGTCGGCCTTAAAATCGTAGCCATGGTCCTGCACAAACAGATTACGCATATCATAATTGATTTTAGAGCGGATGGCACGCGGCGGAAAGATTGCCAATATCTCGTGAAATCGTGCTTGCAGAAATCGCATGCTTGCCAGAATCGTCGAGACGTGATCTATAACCGCAGTCTCATACGCAGGACGGCCCGCAAAATTATCGGGAAATACGTTTCTGATAGAATTCTGTCGGCGTGCACGATACCGATTTCTCCTGACACAGCAGTTCTCAAACTTTATTCTGCGAGTCATCGTTGCTTAAAGCTCTCGAAAAGTCGTTTTTATCAATCAACGTGTATCCGTACATTTGATAAAGCTTAAA